ATAAAACCGCGGACCAAAACAGAACATCCAGGAGCTTATTTGCTTTAAGCTAGGGGACGTGCCGTATTCTTCACATGGGTAATTGGTTAGTTGGGTTTTAGGCCACCCAGAGACCAAAACACGCGTCCGCTGCCGAACATCAGAAAGACTGCATCGAACCTGGGTGTCAGAAGTAGGCTAGGCATAGTTATCGGCCTTTGAATAGCATGTGCACAAGAAAGGTCGGCCACAGGTGAATACTGTTTACCTTTTTGCGCAAAAACTGTGCAATCAAGCAGTAGCCTTCGTGTTAAAATGAGGTTTGCCTGCATACCCATCCACCGTTTTTTGCCATAATTTCCCCAAAGTAACATATTAACTTAGGAGGACAGCCTCATTTCCGGGGCGTGGCAGCACTAGAGTGCAAGACTAACCTCTAGAGTGAGTCAGTTCCCAGAAGATTCCGGGCTGGCAGAATTCATACTCAGACATCTTGCCAGCCTTCTTAAGTCTCTTGGCATTGACGGAGTTGCCTTAATGGCGGAACGAAGTACGAAGGCTGCTTTTGGCACGTTAACTGTGGCCTAGAACCCCCCTGTGTGACTCCATAGGGATGAACAATTACTAGTCGATAATTATTCCTGACATATTCAAGGGAAAATGAGATGGTCGTTCCTGGTTCACCTGTCAGTATTAACCACCCAGACCGCAACCACAAGCAAGATAAAATTTGGGGCTTAGCGTCAAACGTAATTGCTCATTGATCCAGACGACCTACAAGCCCAACTGTGGGCTCGCCTTATTTCGGCTCCGATAAGCACTAATCTACGTCGCACGAGAGTTCATTTTAATGATAAACTTTGTTTTCGTGATGGGAAGTGCCTGCTTAGGGTTGACAACTACTCACGTAACAGGCGTCCTGCCAGTCAGCTCTAACAAGTAGCCGACCAAGAAACGCCTGGTGTTGCCCGCCAGAAAACCAGCATCCGTGGCCGTGCCAGTCACCTACGCCCTCTCCCGCTTCCGGTCATGACATTGGACCCAGGTGGGGCAGGAGAGAGTGCACTAGACCCTGTGCAAGTCTGCTATCACTAAAGAAGAAATCCCGCACAAGTCACCCTGCCTGCTCTCGCCCTGCTGTGGAACATTGCCGGTCGTGACGGTCGAGTTATCGTGTCGGAGACGAAAACTTAGCGGAACCCAGAAAAGAGAAGCGAAGAGACGAGTCTTGGGGGAAGTAGTTGTGAGGGAAGAGATACGATTGGTGGAAGGAGAAATTTATTCGCCTAACGTTTCGGACTCCTGTTCGAACCCATGACTCGTATCTGCTCTAGTCCCCGATGATGGGTTCGAGCAGGAATCTCGAACGTCAGGTGAATAAAGCTGTTGTTCCAGTGATCATGTCTCCTTCTTCTCGGAATCTAGACATTATTTCCTGCCTGGAAACTGGCACCCAATCACGTGACGGTAACTCCGCGTATGCCCGCATATGCCGCTCTCCCATCTTCCGGCTTTTTGAATACCTAATGGAGCTCAGCCCTCTGTTCGCGCCGCAACCCATTCAAATAAAGCAGCGTCCAGTGGAAATTCATGCAATTTTCTATCCACTAGAAGACGAGTTCTCCATCTTGTTCCTGAACTTACAGTGAGTGACCGATCTTATGAAATGTTGGCCGAAATTCTGAAATGCGTTTTCAATTAAGAAGGATAAATAAGGCAGGGTTGCGATATTACTTATCATGCGGCATGCTCCTATAATGCTTCGACTCGCCAGGATGTCGACTTTTGAATGCACTTCGTTTTGACCTCCTGTATAAGACACATTCGGTAAAAATTAACTACTTAAGTGGCATGCATTTTTCACATTTATTTTCGATGGTCTTATAAATTCAAATATATTTTATGGAAAACATACACGAAATATGCGTTCTTCTATTCATTTGGTGACGAATCACGTCAACTTTTTATTCCATCCTTGAAGACAGAGCATATTTAGGTTTAAAAGAAGTTTTTGAGTATAAGATTTTTAAGACCGTGCAATGTACATTCATACAGCATCGTACCTGTCTTTTTACCATTGCTCCTCATAAAATGCATAAAATAGTCAGCATACATTGCAAAATTTCATGAACCCTAGATGGTGTCCTCTTAAAGACATAGAGGAATAAATTATTTGCCCACGGAAAGCATGCACATTGCAGAATGAAATTGCTAAACGCTAATGCAACGACTGATCTGGCTTAAAATTATCCAGGAATTGGAAATCTTTATTAAAACCTAAATATACCCTGTCTTCAAGCATAAAATGCAAAGTCGACGTGACCTACCATCAAATGAGAAGAAGAAAGCATAGTTTTGTGTATGCTTTCTATAAAATATGTTTAAATTTATAAGATCATCGAAAACCAATGCGAAAAATGCATGCTAATTAAGTAGTCATCTTTTTTTTACCGAGTATGGTTTCTGCAGGAGATCGAAAAGAAGTGCATTCAAAAGCCGACATCCTGGCGAGTCCAAAACATTAGTGGGTTAGGTCGCATGATAATCAGTACTATAACCACACCTAAGTAATTCTTTCAAATCGAAAAGACATTTCAGAATTTCGGCCACAATTTCATGAGATCAGTCATTCACTGTATAGTAAAACATGTTAAAATGCCGAGTTTCGGCTACATCAAGCAAAAACTTCGCAGTTGACTGATCGGTCCATCAGTTCGGATTCAGTGGTGGTAAGATTCTCCATCTGTCTCAGAGACTTTCTGATATGTATTTTACTCGTGGTGCACTGTCCCGAGGAGCTCTCGACTTTTTGTTAACGAACAGTCTTCATAAATGTTAGATCTTCCGCAGGTAGATATTTTCTCCATGACCACGGCTAAATAAATTAGTAATTGGAAAACACACGTGCGATTTCTTGCCAGCATATATTTACTGGCGTTTTCCCTCGAATTTAACTAGTCACCAACGATTCACTCATGGAATTAGGACGGTTGTCGAGTTGCTCAAGTTTTGTTAATGTGCCATCACATCCGATCCGCCATGTTTTCCGAATCCTGGTTTCAAAGTTGACGGCCATTTTTCTCCTAAGAAATAAAGATATCAACATAAAGCATTCAGAAATTATCCTACGCACAAAAGAGGTGATTCAGTCTTTCCAAAAGGAACTTCACGGCACGCAGTTTTCACAGTCAGCTCTCAGCGCCGAGGTGATTGTCGCAGGTGGTTAGTGGTCCCCTTGGCAACGGGTGCGACAGGGCACAGACGCATATACGAGGTATCTTCGCCCACAACACAGATGGCCATCTATCTCTCTCTCTCTCTATGTGTGTGTGTGTGTTGACCATTTGGCCTTATTGCACACAACCTGATGGGGAAGTTTGTCAATAAAGATCGTAGCTCAAATTTCGTGTTCTGAAAGAGGTTGCCATACACACACATACAGTGAGTGACCGATCTCATGAAATGTTGCCTAAAATTCTGAAATGCGTTTTCAATTAGGAGGGATTACTTAGGCGCGGTTGTAATACTGGTTATCTTGCGCCATAATCCTTTAATTTTTCGGACTTGGCAGGATGACAGCTTTTGAATGCACATCTTCTCAATCTCCTGTAGAAACCGTGCTTGGTAAAAAATGACTGCTTAAGTAGCATGCACTTTGCGCATTGATTTTCAGTGGTCTTGCAAATTCAAATATAGTTTGTAGAAACCACGAACGAAAGTGTGTCTTCTTTCAGTCATTTGATAGAGAATCACGTCATCTTTATATTTCATACTCGAAGAAGGAGTATAATTAGGTTTTAAAAAGTTTTCTGATTGCCGAATAATTTGGAGCCTGATCATTCGTTGCATTAGCGCTTATTTATTCCAGTATACAAGGTGCATACGTTCTGCGTAACGGAAATAGCATATTCTTCTATGCCTTGAAAAAGATACCATATGGAGTCCATAATATTTTGCGATGGATGCGGACCATGTTGTACATTTCATGAGGGGCAGTGGTAAACGGACAGGCACGATGCTTCATGGATGGACATTGCACGGTCTTAAGAAATTTCATAATACGGTACCGGTGGTAATAGGGCTTTTTAGAGGTGGGGCCGGGGAACGCACAGGCGCCGAGGTCAAGTAGTTGTATGTAAAAGAAAAGCTATTAGGAATGTTCGGTTCCATTTGAGTGGTTGAGAAATAGTTGTCCAAACCCCTCACTCTAACTCTTAACTCAAACCCCTAAACCTAACCCCCAACCCTAACCCATAACCCCGACCCCAACAGTAATGTGTCCGTCAGGTGGGACTACATAAGCATATCTTGCCCTTTAAGGTTGAACCGGCATGCTACTCGAAGATAACGGTAGAGTGATTCGAACTCCCGCAAGAAGTTCTAACTGATCCTTAGGCTGCTTATCTATTCACGACTCGCATTTAACGACTTATCAACACCAGTAGACTGCGTGTGCGGCGTGAATGGAAATCCACTTGCGTCTGGTCGTAGCCCCCACCACGGACGAAGCTGCAGATCCAGCGCAACATAACGGCGTCAGACTGGCTCACGGGACGCGTTTTTCGGGCAGCGCGGAGTTCACACGAATCCATTACTACTGTCGTGCATGCGTGCCTGTTTGTGACGTACCTTAGATGCAGGCCTTCATGTCGCGTCCAACCAGATGACTTACAGGCTCGGGCTGTGGACTGGTGAAGGTGAGAGAGACTGACACCGGGGAAGCCGTCCTCCCGACACATCGGTGTGTCCCTCATCTGATGCGGTGCGATCTACCGCGACACGAAACTATCAACTGGCGAGGTCACTCTGCGCTTGTCAGGATTGTGGGGTCAGACTCCAGTGGCTCCTTCCCAACATGGCCTCTGTCACCCTCCCCCCCGCTACTGGGGTGAGATCTGCACCGTCCCCCTTTGAAAGTCTGGTACATGCTCTGAGGACCAAGTCGAGTCCGCTTTCGGCCGTCTTGACTTTGTCTTGCCATTGAAGCGAGGTGGACAAAAGGGGAGAGGGTGTGGAAGATGCTACGCAAGTCTGCTGCCGCATAAATTGGTCTGCGCGCAAGTGACTGCATCCACTTCAAGAGACACGTAGTCGACCGCATCTTTTTCCCGACTGTTAAAGTGCTGTGTCCAGTTGAAGGCTTTGCTCCGATGAGAACGACTAAGGAGAGAGGGAATGTGCCTTGAAAGGCTGCCACCCTCGTGGGATTCCATTGGGAAGGCTATGTTCCAAAGAGTGACGTCAGCCGCTACCGTCCGCTCTTTGGGATTGTCTTCTGTTGCCGTAGAAGTCTTTTCCTGTGACAAGTACACAGCAGAAGTAAAAAACAAACCGTTATTTGCAATTAGATCTCATTACTCACTGCCCACAGTGAGAAATGCAATCAGTGGCTGAAAGTGGACTATCTGCACTGCGCTCCCCTACGACAATCGAATACTACTCAAGTTAGGAAGCTGGCGATCATTACTCACTAAATCTCACTTTCTCAGCTTATGGGAGTTGAGAAGGACTGCATTGCCACCAAGCGTGTTTTAAATTTTTGGAGTTTCCAAAACCACGAGAATTCAGGGAAGCAGCCGCAATTTCTGAAGGCACCTTTGACAAGAATTTATTATTTTAAATGGACCGATATGTGTTTTTGGAAGGCATCTCGTTCATTTATGCAAATTGGGCTTGAAATAACTCAATTATCAATTACTTTCTACCCCGTATTTTCAGTGATAGGTAATGTTTTAACTTCCGTTACACGAAATTACATCTCATTTAGCTGTACACTGAAAGGATAAATTAGTTTGGGGCCAAATAATTTTTTAGCTAATTTTTAAAAATATGGGTATGCTTTTATGTTAACTTAGCAACGTAACAAGTCTTGATCTATTAAAGCTGATGGAAGCATATACAACGGGATCCATGGTTATTTCCGGGAAACTCCATCCACTTTACATGCATCAAAAATCAAAAAAGTAGTGACGTTTATTTTTCTCGCAGGTTGATGCAGGTGATTAACAGTATGTTCAACCAAATGTCAGTAACTCAAGAGAATATTGCATGTTCAACACGTTTTCGACTTTGCCCAAGCAATATTTCTTATCTTACGGGCACAAGTAAACACTTCTGTCAATGTTTATTGGAGTAGGTGGGTGGGTTTTATTTTACAACAAGGGGATGTCTGTTGAATGGAAATGCTGCGTGAGGGAAATCGAGCAAAATAAGACTTTCAAAAATAAGATGCAGTTCATTTTTATATTTTCGCACAGTCATCGGGTGTCTGGAAATTTTCCGAAAAACAAAGGCTACCCCTTGGCAGGAAAGACACCATAGTTGCATACGTACGTACGTGAATTAATGTTTAAGGGTTTTATGATTAGTTCAGGAAAAGAGCACCCATAATGTCTTTAACGTCAGATTCGGAAGGGCTGCGGACTTTCTCACTTCAAGGGAGAAAGCGGGAGAAAAATCTACTGCCTTTGAAAGTTAGTTACTTGTTTGAACACAAGGCGACTTTTATATGACAAGGAAAGCTACTGAAATCTATTAGGTAAATGGATGAGAAGAATTATTGATTATCTTGCGTCATACGCAGACAATTTAGAGACTATTACTTGAGCTGCCCCTCACATCTTTGTACTGTTTGTCAGAGCCAGTATTCAGTGATATTTTGGCAGATTTTGAATAATTCATATTGACCCAGCTATGAAAAACTCGTCGCCTCCGTGGGATTCGAACCCACGCAGTAAGGGGGAAGGCTTTAGTACAGCCAACGCTCTAACCACCTGAGCTACGAGGCCCCGCCAGTAGCCAGTATTAACCTCAGGCAGTACTGAGGGTGTACACAGTCCGGCTGGAGTACATCTGCTGACCGTGAAGATCACCTTGCCTTCTCTACATCGGGTTCTCGAAGAATTCCCCTGCTTCCCCCTCCCTCTAGCGAGCTCAGCCCCGAGACACCTCAAACCCCAGTCAGGACTTTGAACAGCCTTCCATGCTCTGAAAGTCATCCTGTCGACTGGATACCATTGCCGGCGCAGGTGCCAAACTCCAGCAGGGCGAGGGCCTTGCCTAGAGGCCACGCCCTGTCCGCCCCCCCTCCCCATCCGAGAAAAGACTTTAAAGGCCTTCTTCCCTATGCAGACGCTCAGCTGCGCCGGACTGTATGATTCACTGTTGCGCTTACCGACCGCGCTGCTAAGTGCCTACGTGCAGCAGAGTTGGAGAGGGGCGTTACCACTGGTTGAGATGAGGGCAAGAGAGAGTGAATAGATCTGTGTGTGAGGGGAAAACGGCCACTAGGATGTACTGACCTCGGGCGACTTGCCCACGTATTCTCAACCGCAGACCTCACCGCATAAACACCGCAGGTCACTGCAGCATTTTCGGGAGCGGTTTGTCCTGCAGTTGAGTCACTGGCGGGCGCTTCTGTGGACGCCGGGGCGCCGGCGGGTGCTCGGGGCTCCCAGTGCATCGAATCTACACAGAACAAGTCAGGGATCTGATAGGAAACCTGTTGAGTGTGATGTCGTCTGGCGTATTAAGGTGTAACCTTCAAAGAAAGACGCTTTCCAGTCCGAAGGTGAAGGACTCGATACACGGTTCAGCGAAAGACTTGGAGCTGTCTCTTGGGCGTAAGATTAAACGGCCCGGTCTGTTTGCTGGGAGGGATGTGACCGTCTCGTGATGACTGAGAGCTCCCTCAGCCGGCCACACTGTAATAAACGGATCGGCGGTTATCCAAAGCTGGGGTTAGGCATGGCTGGCTGACGGCAGCCAAGAAGTCAAAAATGACCATCTCAGCCTCCCTTGTCTTTATCAGTACACTTATTTCTGCATCTATTAACAGTCGCTATTCGACTTCCTGGGAGTGTTATAAACTGAGCTTGAAGACGCAACGAGATGAGCATCACAATTCCGCGATCGGTGAACAATCCTACCACAAAAGTCAAATGGGAAATATCCTCCTCCTCCTCCTCCTCCTCCTCCTCCTCATCATCATCATCATCATCATCATCATCATCATCATCACCAACGCCGCCAGCACCAGCACCAGCACCAGCACCACCACCACCACCACCACCATCATCATCACCATTACTACTATCATTTTCTGAAGCAAGGCAGACTGTAATAGGCGCTTCAGGCCCAACTGATTTTATGAACCAGCGGCATTTTTTGACCTGGTATTTTTATTTTCCGAAGGTTCTAGACTGAAGTTCTGAGCAACACTTATTAGCCATGTTCTGTTCTGAAATCAAAATAAATGGAAACCCTAGGTCAGTAATGCCTCCGTTTGTTCAGTAATCACCAACAGTTTTGTGGATGGGTGGAGCGCTTAATCCGGAGATATTTCAATCACCCTAGGATGCCAGATTTTGAATAGGTTGCTTGCCGGCAGTCCGTAAAAACTACACCTTGCAAAATGTGATCATTAAATTAGGATGCATTTTTCCCACTGATTTTTGGTGCTTCCATGAACTCAAATATATTCTATAGGAAACATGCACAAAATATACTTTCTTCTACTAATTTGGTAGCAAATTATGTCCTCTTCAAATTTAACCCTAAAAGGACTAGCTCGGCTCGGTTTAAAAAATTTTTGCCAAAGAGATTTTTCAAGACCGCCAAATGTCTAATCATACACCGTCGTGTCAGCCTGTTTATTAATGATGCTTAAAAAGGGGACAACAAAGTCACCATCCACTACAAAATTTAATGAGTCCTATATGACATCTTCTTAATAGCGTATAGAAACTATGACATTCCTTAGGCGGAAAATACGCAACTTTTAGTTTGCAAATTCTGAACCACAAGTGTAACAGCAGGTCCGATTTAAAATTTTACGGGAATCGAGAAACTTTTTTAAAACCGAAAGATATTCTTTCTTCAAGAGCTGAATTTGAATAAGGCATAATTTGCTCCCAAATGAATACGGGAGGGGGGATATTTTTCATGCACTTTTCCCACAATTTATATTTGAATTTATAAGTGTCTCAAATATCAGTGGGAATGATTCATACTACTTGGGTAGCCATTTTTACGAAATATACATAGTTTAGGCAAGCGATCGATAAGAAGCTCATTCGAAAACCAGCATCCTGAAGTGACTTTAACATCTTGTGATTATGCTACGCAATGATTAATATTACGGCCTTACTTAAGTAACCCTTTCAAATTGAAAGGACATTTCACGAGATGACACAGCTACCATCTAATGGGTAAAGTGTCGAATAAACGAGCCAGGGCTGCAGACTCCCAATACAGGACAGTAGGTCAATTTTTAAAAATGCAGGCATGGCGTCGGAGTATAATTAGAACAGAATATGCACCGCCTGGCTTCGCTATTTGAGCGGGAGGCATGTATAGTAAAGGAGCCAGGAGCAAAACGATCACAAAATCAGCCGCTCTGGTTAAAATACACTGCTTGCGAGTGCTTCTTTGAGAATAAGTCCCTAACTGCCGACCACAAGGTGACCCGTCCGAGTTGGCCGTAGATCGATTGAGGCCCAGAGACAACCCTTAGTGGCGTTGCTTTGCATTCCAAGTCTAAAGAATGCGAGACAAAGTGAACCATGTAACTGGATGTCGTCCGAAGAGCGTTAGCCAATCAGGTTGCAGGACGCAGTCGCCACGCCGGAACTCGCCTCTCAACTTCCTAATGGGCCTAGAGGCTAAACGGAATCGTCATACTCTGTCCCGCCTCTACGTGACACTTTTTTTGCCCCCAAGACACTCTTGCCATTGATTTTGAACGACATGATACTGCAGACATTGGGTCCCAGAAAGCTGAGAACACGCTTTTGAAGAACGACTGATTACCACAAACCCGGAAATTTTAAAACTTTTTCGGTTGCCCGGCCCAACCATCTTGGATTCGACCCTGTGGGAGTAGCGCCGGACTGAACGCGGTATTCTCGAACCGCAGATGAGAGTTGAGTGCTGACACAGGACAGTGTAGAAGCATCCACCAGGTTTACTGAAGCATTTGGCAGGAGAAGTCAGTGTATTTCTTATAAGAGTGTGCTCTTGCCTGCGCTAACAGACTCAGATGGTGTCGGTTGAGCGACAGAGTTGCTGACGCTGGGGTAGACCCGTCAGTATGGAGTCCTTCAAAGTCCATCCACACGCATTCATGAAAATAGATTGACCGTATCGCTGCAATGTGGATTCTTGCTCCCTGATACTTCCCACATCCCACGGGAAGGAAAGGATCAAGGCAAGCAGGCCAGCAATCATTCATGATGTGGAAACGTCGCGCGACTATGAAGGAAGTTAATGACAAGAAAATGGGCGAGAGTATGGTTTATGACTGGGGTTACTTACTGCAGGGAGCAATTGTGCTAAAAGAGAAGGAAATAAAAAGACCTCGTGGTGGCTGTTGTATGAGGGTGGTCATGCTGCTTTAAGGTAGTCATTGAACTAAAAATACGACAGTATAATACCCTTTCGACAATGTCTGCGAAAGGGGCATTAAATTCATTTACTGTTATCGCTGAATGATGAAAATAATGTCCCCTTTTCATTGGTAATGATATGGAGGATCAAAATTTGTACTACCACAAAGGTCTCAAGTGTCCACACTTTTGTTTAACACAAAGACTCCCAGGAATAAGTAACCTCGGTCATAAGCCGTACCCTTATTCCCCAATTTTATACTCAAAGGAAGGATATAATTTATTTTTCAAAAACTTTTCTTATTCCCGAATAATTTTGAACAGGACCTGCCATTAAATTTGCATCCATGGCTCCCAAACTAGAAGCCGATTATATTCTGTATATGGAAAACCATATATTTCTTCACGGTAATAAGAGGAAACCACATGGAAGTCATGAAATTTAGCGGTGGATTTGAGTCATATTTACAAGCAACATGAGTAAATGCAGAGACACGATGTTTTCTGAACGAGCATTTCAGGGTCTTAAAAAATCGCACAATTAGAAACTTTTAGAACCGAATTATACCTTTCCTTCGAGTGTAAAAATGAAGAACGACGTACTTCCCTAAGAAATGAGTAAAATAATGAATATTTTTATGCATTTTTTCTATAAAATATAATTGAATTTTTAAGGGCATCGAAAATCAACGAGAAAAATTCATGCTACTTAAGTAGTAGTTCTTCATAGAGTGTGATTTTTTATGCGGCTAGGGAGAATTTATTTCGAAAGCCGGCATCTCGTGGCGATTTAATTATTCTAGAATTATGCTGTACCATGATTAATTTAAAAACTCTACTTAAGTAATCTTTTCGAAACGAAAACACATTTCAGAATTTCGGTTCACAATTCATGAGCTAACACACCTACTACAGGCATGCGTCCCTGTGAAGTATTTGTTTCCGCAGCCAATTCCAAGCGCAACTCCACAGTTCGTGTTGTACTTCAGGCCTTATAAGGTGCAGCATCAAAAAATTCCGAGCGTTTTAATCCTCTGTGCACGCGGGGAGGATGGGATCGCAACCTCTCCTTAGTGATTTCCACCCAGGTATATATGTATATATATGCATAGACGTGTAAATTTGCTTCCTCTAGGCAACTAGCGAGGAGGAGGTGCGAGCCCAGAGGGAAAGAATAGCAGCTAAGGCGCGACTACAACTCCTTGAGAACGAAATCCTCGACTACAAGCGAAAGGTCGCCAGTCTTCAGGATGGGCAACAACGACAACTTACCCTTATCCAAAATCTGCAGGGACAGGTAAGTCAAGCCATGCCATGACGTCAAGGCAGCGGATGCTTGCGTTATCAGTTTGTGAGACGTACGACAGTCTAGGAAAATGACGACCTAGTTGAGACCATATGGCCTTGTTGGCATTCCGATTTTTCCACACTTTACTTAAACCCGAGTGATGAAACTCATGGAACGTTACATAAAATGTTGAACTCTAACTTGAGTTAAAAGGGAGTTAAAAATTAGCACTGACTAAAAATGTAACAGAATCACAAGATACAGTAGGTGGGCTAACTCATGAAATGTCAATCAACATTTCGAAATGCGTTCTTGTTTCGAAAAGATTAATTAAGTAGAATTGTAAAACTAATTGTTATGCAGCATAATTCTATGATGGTCCAGTTACCTCAGGGTGTTGGCTTTCGAATAAACTTATTTCTGACTGCATGGAAGGACTATACTCAACAAAAAAATGACTACTTGAGTAGCATGCAGTTTTTCATTGATTTTCGATGCCCTTGACGATTCAATTATATTTCCTGGAAGCCGTGCATAAAAATATTCGTTCTTTTACTTATTCCGTAGAAAATCACGTGTTATTCCAATTTTTTACTCGGTTTCAAAAAAGTTTCTCATTTCGAGATGTTTTAATACCTTGAAATTACCGTTCATAAAACATCATGTATCTGCTTTTACGAACGTGGCTTGTAAAGTTAACAATATGACTCAAATCCACTGCTTAATTTTATGAACCCCATATGGCCTCCTCTTAATACCGTAGAGAAATGCGTGGTTTCTCGTATAGGAAAATATACTGCTTGTAGTTTTTTAACCCTGAATGCAAGTGTAACAGCAGGTAGGGTTCAACATTATTCGGGAATTAGAAAAGTTTTCTAAAACCGAATCGTACATTTCTTTCGAATATAAAATCGGTAAACGACGTGATTATCTACCGAATAAGTAAAAGAATGAATATTTTTATGCATTTTTTTCATGAAATATAATTGAATTTTTAAGGGCGTCGCAACTCAATGACAAAATAGCATGCTACTTGTGTAGTCATTTTTTGCTACTTATGTAGTCATTTCTTGCATGCAGTCGGAAATAAGTTCGTTCGAAAGTGAGCATCCTGCGGTAACTGAATTATTATAGAATTATGGTGCAGAATGATTGATTTTGAAACCTACTTAAGTAGTCTTTCTGAAACGAAAACGCATTTCGGAATTTCGGTTGACATTTCATGAGTTAGCCCATCTACTGTACTTCATTCACGCCAGAATGCCGAATTTTAAATGGGCGTCTTCGCTGTCGCCTGCAAAATCAAATTTGCTAAAAAATAATAACTTAGATTTCCACTGATTTCGGATGCTCAAACATATTTTTTAGAATCTGTGCAAATAAGCATCTTTCATTGTGCCCGTTTTATAGTAGATGATGTCTCCAAAACTTTTACTCAAGTGGAAGATATGTTTCTGTTTTAGGTAAGTTTTCAATTATGAGATTTTTAAGGTCGTCAAATGTCTATTCAACTGACATCCTATCTGTCCGGTTGGATAGTGCCTGTGGGTCGCATCTACCGCAAAATATTATCGGTCCACGGAGGAGCACTAAAAAAAACAAGAATTGTTTTCTGTAAAACATTGGGTTGATAACGCTGTCCTTCTCTCGCTTGGGCACGTTTCCTAGATACTCTTCCTGCTCAACTGGCCAATTAGCGTTCATGATTAATTATTGCGGCCGACAAAGTAATTATTCTAGTAAACTCCGCTCCAGCGCTCCTAGCGGTTTTGCGATGGCAAACCTTAAGGAGGAACGCGCCATCAGCAAGTTCGTTTTCCTGCATATTACGATTTGTTTCTTTGGACATCAAAGGAGCCGTACTAGTTGGATTTGTTTCTCACGACACTACAGTGAAATGACATTGTTATTTGCAAGTACAGAAACGACTACATTAGGCAGTGGTAAAAAAGACTTGGATCGTGGCAATCGGGAGACTAGCAGCGTTCAAAATCAACCAATTCTTGTCAATGAAAACGTTTTTGCATTCTCCCTACTCGTCTGGCTCAGCCTTCGTATTCCTGAGAATGAAGGGAAACCTAAAGGGAAAGCGTTTTCAGAACATTGAAGGGGTTAAGGAAAACCCGTCGGAGGAACTTTACAGCATTGGTTCAGGAGAATATAAAAAAGGATTTTTAACAATGCAAAACCCGTTGGAACCGTACTGTCATGGAGATTAATGTTTTTAAGATTTCATGCTAGGGGAAAAAGTAAATAAATGATCCGTAGATGTTTTGACAGGTTTTGAATAATTCATATTGACCCAACTGCGAAAAAATCGGCGCCTCGGTGGGGATCGAACCCACGCAGTAAGGGGAAGGCTTTAGTACAGCCAACGCTCTAACCGCTTGAGCTATGAGGCCCCACCGGATGATGCGCGTTTAATCACATTTGGGTCGTTACCCGCCCACTCTACTGCAACGTCTGGAATCCACCAAATCTGATACAGTAATTTGACTGCCCAAACAGGATTTCCTAAGTAATTCACGTAGAATCCACCAGATGACTACCAGGCTTACGTAATTCATAGATGTTTTGGCGATTTTGAATAATTCATGTGGACTCAACTGTGAAAAACTCGGCACCTTGGTGCGATTCGAACCCACCAAATGTGATTAAACTCGCGTCGTCCGGCGGGGCCTCGTAGGCCAAGCGGTTAGAGCGTTGACTGTACCAAAGCTTTCCCCTTACTGCGTGGGTTCGAATTCTACCGAGGCGCCGAGTTTTTCACAGTTGGGTCAATATGAAATAAATTATCCTCGTGTTTTGGTACCCCAAGTACGCTTTTAGCGCAGGAAAGGGCATCATTTTCTTAAATAGAAGGTGTACAGTTTTTGGATTGGAAACTCTTAACACAAGTGCAAAGACAGGCCGGACTCCCAATTATTCCAGACTGAAACACCTTCTAAATTGACAGCTATCATTCCTTCGAGTATAAGATCTAAAATGCGTAATGTACCATAAATGTATTACAGAAAAGGATATTCTTGTTTATGTATTTTCTAAATTATGCATCAGTTTATGAAGACATCGAAAATCAATGGGAAAAAATCACACCACGTGAGTATTTATTGCTTGTTGAGTATGGTTTTTCAGGCGACCGAAAAGACACACACTCAAGTAACCGGCATTCTGGAATAATTTAAATTTCGTAAGACTAAAACAATTTCTTATAAATTCTGCATGTGTTTTGATCAAGTGGCCTATACGTGGGCCTTTGCGATTGGTTGATCGTTTTTATGCACACAAGTTGAGTTAGTCTGAAATGGCGATTCAGGGCGTCACAATATGCGCTGTCTGGCCTTCGTATTTGAAAGACCAAAGTAGAACCGAGAACCCACGAAATACCTATGAAGTGAAGATTCTAGTTATCCCAACAAAATCTCCATTTTCGACGCCGTGTAGTCAGATCGGTTTAATATTTATGGTGTAAAACGCTAAAAAAAACGTGAGTCAACAGTTCCGCAAAACATTTTGTCATGATTATTAAAATATTTCAACCAGTCTAATAAGAATTGATATATGGCAAGTGATATTTACAATTTCTGGTAGAGCACTTTCGAATTCCAAAGATGTGAAGAGAAGACATGGCTAACTGATCGTTTTGCGAAAACATTCTCACATACTGGCTGTACTTTGCAATCGTAGCATCCTTTATGAAACGAAAATCCCCAAAATGAAAGTTTAGCTTTATTATCTTGCCTGCCTCATCAGATTGGAGACCTACCGTACATAGGCACACGCAGTATGTTCCTTTATCTGTTCTACCTATGTGATAGGACAAGTAGGATTTTCAAGGTAGTAGACTCATCAGGTTTTCATTCGACTTGCTTTACGCCAGTAATTCTGCTTTCGACATGCCCGGGAGGGTGATAGGTAGACATGCAGAGGTCGGGGTTTTGACAGTCTCCTTCCTCCCCTAACCTAAGCTTTTTCAGCTCATTCATGCCATCCCACCAGTTACCCACACAGCAGTCCCGCATGCTCTCACCTTCATCTCCCCATAAATTGTTAATCGGTTATCGCGCGTGGCAGCTGGCGGCCGCCATTGTTGTCTGCATCTGCAGGTCGTTTTTCCCACGCGTCTTGCGAGCGCGTTTTCGCCTTCTTAGGGGTCCCACGCATACTCCAGACTGATTATCAACTAGCCAGCCTTCCGAAGTCTTGGGGACAAGCGGGTGCAAACTAACGGTTGCGTGGTTGTTTTTCTAAATTTGGGATTAAAAACTTAAACCTGCGCGACGTTCACAACTACTTTTTCCAATGGAGGATTTTTGTTTTGTTTTGGAGGTAATCGCGTTACGTTATGCATGCCTTTGACTGTTTCCTTTTCTGAACCTTTTAAAGTCGACTGCTTGTAATAAGGCAGAGTTTGGAGGACTTTAAGTCCATTTTTGCACGATATCGAAACAAAAATGATCTCTCCAATGAGCTATCGTGAAGTCAGGCCGAGTTGATTAACTTTGCTGCACTTGTGTTTAACTCAAAAACGATTATGCGAAGACGGATCCACAATTGGATGCTTGAATGGCTCGAATTACGTTCTCCTGCAAGAACCTGATGTGCACTAACATCCAATTCTGTTTGGAAGGGCATCACCGACAAAGAACAGTTGACAATAAGATGGCATTGACGGATCATGCTTTTGTGAGAGGAAACTATATTAATTTCATGTTGTTGCAAATACAAACTTTAAGCAACAAGCTGGTCGGGCTTTGTTATTAGAAATAAAAGTGCCACGATCAAGAGGAGAAAAAGCTAATGACCCTGAAAGTTGTTTAGTGGGAGTTTTATGCCCGCATAAATTTGGTCTGACTGTAAAATATTTTCTGCCAGTGCGTAATTTCCTGCCTAACACAAGAGGCATTCGGCAAATACGCATTCTAACTACACCAGCTCACTTGAGTCAGTTCCCGCACTGTCTTGATGAAGGTAACTGCTCACAGCCACGCACGCGGGTGGAGGGTCTATTAGGTGAGTAGCTGAGTTGACGTCTGGACGCCAGACCTCCCACGGTCTTGTAGAAAGGATACAGAGAGGAGATGCCGAAAGGGGACAGAATATGTCCCATATTAATTTTTCGCACCTTTTCTTCCAAGCGATGCCACCGGAAAAGCAATAGGCGGAGTGTCCGTATCCGAAATATAATACGTTTGTGGTTAACGTGTTAACAAACAGTTGAGTTTATTTTGGCCTAATGACCCCTTAGGGTCAGATTTAACAAAATGAAGAGCAAGGTGAATTTGAGTTTTACAAAACCCCGGCTCCTTATAATTACAATTTGTAAATTCAAGCGGATAACATCAATTAAAAATAAGCTCACCTGAGACTGGCAAGGCACCCCACCGCCCATATGTTAGTAGTCGGTTTCTTAACATAGACTGTTTACTTACCATGCCCTCATTCTTAAAAAAAAACACTGTCTGGCTTTCCAACAAGCAGCTCCGCTTTGGGGAGGGGGATTCTAGCCGGCCAACTAAATTTATTGAAGCCGCGACTTCCGTGAATGTCCTAACTTAGCGAACAGTTGCACGCAAAGCGACCTGTCCTTTGATCTAGTCATTTTCCTTCTGTGCCTGCGCCGCTGCCTCAAATGAGGCAGAAAATTGCTCTAATTATTTTTTTCCGTGGTTCCCGTATGCTTTCAAGCCGGTAATAAAAACGTCCATCACATTGTATGCTGGCCAATTGTCGACGAAAATTAATAAGCGTGTGAAGTCAGGAGACCGGATTTGTGCGTTCTTTGGTGGCAGTCATTATGACGCGAAATACCCCTCTCCAACAAAATGAATTTGATCCTATAAAATGTCTGTGAAAGACGATCAGGTAGGCAGACTTGGGGATGTGCAGTTTTGCCGGACTGCAGGAGTTCAACCCAAATTATCTCTTGAATAGAAAATTATTTGTCATCTTTCTAAGTTGGCGAAAGATCGCGTGAAGGCCCCCAAACACACACGACCAGCCAAAGGTGCCTGTCTTACGGGAAAGGTGGTAATAGGGGTTTTACGGACGAGGCCTATGTATGCATAGAGGAATGAAAAAATAAGTATAGATAATTGTAAATGTGTTTTTAGAGGTGTTTTTAATGCATTGACATAAAGCAACCGAAATTGGGCGGGACAATAAAAAAATGAACACTAAGTGTCCACAGCGGTCGCTTCTCATCTCTCTGAGCTGAGGACATTGTAGATAATGCACCAGACCGTCAACAACAGACGACCCAACCTTGTAACTCACCGACAAAAGCAGGCGCTATGTCTGAGTGCACCTGGTAAGTAGGATTCAGTGAGTCGGACACCATTGTATATTCCGAATCGAAAACCGACAGGGCGACGGGCCCGTGGCCCAGTGGTTAGAGGCGTGGACTTCTAAACCAACAGGTCGCGAGTTCGAGCCTCGGATGTTCCACACTACGGGGTTGGGTATGACTGGCTGACGACGGCTAATAAGTCAGAAATAGGCATTCCATTCACCCTTGTCTTTGTCGGTAATAACATACTCCTTATATCATGCGTCACTGTGCAGCTGCCAGTTGGGTTCGAGAGAGAGAGTCCGTTCAGTAAGAACGTTCGCTCAGCGCCCTCTACCATAGCAGGAGCTATGTCTGAGTGCGCCTGCTAAGTAGAATTCAGTGGGTCGGGCACGACCTAATTCACTTTCACGATTGCTTAAAACTTCCCAGGCGCATTTGTGGGGTACGAGAGGAGTAGAGAAAATGCGTACTTCTGGCAATCGCACCAATCTCACCGTCCTTCGTGTTCCTAATGTCTGTTTGTAAAGCGCCAGCCTCAAGTCAACCTGAATAGACGGTTACAACTGCCTCAGATCAGCCAAGTGACAGCTCAGTCTAATTGGCTGATGCAGACGGACTTTCGACTGGCTCCCGAGTGGGCGTTAGTCTAGCGAAGTCGACACGGGAGGTTTCGACGCAGACACCAGTTAGCGCTTGACAACTGAAGCAATAAAAGAACCAATAAGTTTTTAGCAACAAAGATAGGGGGGGGGCGGTTTGAATGATTGTTTCCGACTTGATTGCGTATTTCATGCCAACGGGGTGTTAGGCGCTTTACCGGTAAACTATAGGCACATATCTTTTGACTCTTGAAGGAATCATTTAAGATCACGCGAGAGTGGATCCCCCTCTGAGACATCCAGATCCTGGAACGAGACGTGGGTTGGAATAGCCGATCCTTCAGTCTGGACTTTGGCCATGACTGACTGATGATGGTTAGCAGGTCAGAAACGGCCGATGAAAACGTCTCAGTAAGATATGGTTATGCAGCCACACCTGATGGACACAATGCTGTCAGGGGTTAGGGTGAGGGTTAGTTGCTGCTATGTCGTGGTGCGCTCAGAAGCAATAGTTTACTTTGACTTCATTTTGTCCCACAGGTTAACGAGTACAAAAGAAGGAACACTGATCTGGAGATTGAAATCGAGGAGCTGAAGATGGACAACCAGACAAAAACAAAGAAGGTTAGCCTTCTGCATATGTTTACCCAATGCAATAAAGCTTTACTCGGCCGAAGGATCACTTTTTAAAATCCTAGCAAGTTGAAGTGGAGTACTACTTAATAAGGCCACAATCGTGATTGAGTAAGTGGACAACTGTTTGATCCACAAGGTTCACCTCTTCTGTCTCCTGTAACTGCAGTAAGAAGCAAAACACTGCTTCTTGTTGGAATTTGGCTACCTTAGAGAGAGAGAAATGCGCTTTATTTTGAAAGTATCTTTCAACATTTTCAGCAAAGACGTCCACCATGTGCTGCAACTCTCGGCATCGTGGACAATTTTTGGTGAATTTAGTGCAGAATGAATGTCAGATTTTATTCCGTTCGAAACGACCCTAGTGTAATGTACATATGACCTCGAAAGTATAGTTCGAATAAATTAAAATGATGAAAATCAATATATATATCGAGTAAAATAGGCCAATCGATGTGCAGGTAAGATGTGGTTATGTAGCCCCACCTGATGGACACAATACTGTTGTTAAAGGTTAGGGTTCGAGGTCAGGGTTTGGGCAATTTTTTCTCAACCACTCAAAGTACAACCGCTCATTCCCAGCAGCTTTTCTTTGGCATACAACTACTTGACCTCGTCGCCTGTGAGTTCCCCGGCCCCACTTGTAAAAACCCCTATTACCACCGGTCCCATAATACTGGTAGCTTGGGCTTGTTTAATTCAGTTGGGGCTACATAACCACATCTAACCGACGTACAATTAAAGCATGTACCATGTGACCAAAGGTATAGGCAGTGGGTGGTCGTTCATTGTGCGTATGAAAACAATTAATGCTATCTTCAGGTCAGGGAAATTTTATAATATGTTGAACGCGCCTGCTTCGGCCGTTCCGAACCATGAAAAATCTCTTGGCGCAGCGGTTAATACTTTCCGTAGTCGCTGACGTAGAGTTAGCACTTTCCAGTGATGTTTAAGTCTGGCAACTGGTTCATCATAACAAGTTTTATTGCCAACTGGCTCACACCCAGCCAAGTCCAAGCAGTGAAGAGGCCGTGAAATTCAGCATCTATCTCCAGGTAGCATCACACACGGCGGCCGAGACCACTGGAAAAAAAGGTCACATTTAAGGGAATGTTCAAAAGGTCCGATTGAAGTGATTTCCCATTCTGGCAAACATCTGCTTCAACTGGGGATCTCCGCACGGGTTGAATTCGGAGGACTGCGCATTGAATGCAATGTGGATCCTTATACGGTACACCACAAGACCTACTAAATTAGTTGACTTGTCTGCGATCTTTGTTCCGCACAATATTTAGGTCGGACCAATCTAAAGTGATAAGGTTCGCATGGCCCCACCATCTCATTCGTCTGTATAACCTCAATCGGAAAAACTAAAACTTTCTTGTTCTTAGATAGAGGCTATTTATTTTTTTGGTCGTCAGAATACGGGTCCTCTTCGGCGAAAAACTGAATAAAAACGTGCCACACCTGATTTATCTGCCTTTTGTGTCGATACCACCCAATAAAGTTTCTGGGACGCCAGTCTCTGAGCATATTCGTTTGGTGAATTGTCGATCAAATAAACCCTCAACGCATATGTCGGAAAATTTAAGTAGGCAACATATGCGGAGAGGGTTGTCCGGAGTCTCTGAATGAAATCTTGAAAGTAAATTTGTCCTACTCTGTTCTCTAGTATGGCAACTTTTACTGGTATTGTTAGCTGCAGTCCAAGACCATGGAGAACGACAGTCGTTTGGAGGCGCGTGAGAATATGGCCAAAATGCGTGAAGATAATCTTATTGCAGAATTGGAGAACATGGCGGCCACCCTGGAGCAAGAACGGGCCAAGTAAGCTACTATATCACATTGATTTGGGCCTTGTACATTTTGTCCTAGACTTTGTCGTCCTCTTTTTCTTCGCTCATCTCTCGCATCCTCCCTCCTCCTTCCCTGCCCACTATAAGCCCCCTCTTCTTTTCCCCTTGTTCCGGCACTCCTTATCCTTATTCTTCTTTTTCCTCCTTCTTTCTCTTTTCCTTCCTTATTCCTATTCTACTCCTCTGCTATACAGTCGCTGCCACCACCACCACCACCACCACCACCACCAACACCACCACCACCGCCACCACCACCACCACCACCACCATTACTAAAAACACCTCCTACTCCTCCTCCTCCTCCTCCTCCCCCCTCTCCCCCTCCTCCACCTCCTCCCCCCTCCCCCCCTCCTTCACTGTTACCGTCGCAGCCAGCATACTTGCTATCACCTTGGGCAGCGTCCCTCCTCGGTCTTCAGAAACCGGCATCTTAGGCGGTTGCGCTTACAACTGATTCGCAGTCTTCATCTTTTTGTTGTGTAAACACAATTTTTCCGTTCTGAATTAAAAGAGCTTGTCCGATCGCACCGGTGCCTAGGTCTTTCTTGCCTCCCAGGCAGCTTAATATAGGAGAGACTGAGGACGCACTGTCCGCATTTTCCTCAGAGGCAAATTTGTTTTTAAATGCAACAGAATACGTACGAGCACTGCAGCTGTCTGCTCTAGTCACTCACAAAACTAGCCTTTCAGGCAAAGATGTACATCAGAAGGTTAGAAAGGCAGAGCCTCAGAGAAAGGTGGCATCCGCGAGTGAGGGAGTGAATGATGCTTTTGCAGCTCTTTTTGCCTGAAAGGTAGCTTAAAGTTAGTGTGAGACTGTTCTTTGACGACAAGATGAATGTACAAGCTTAATTGTCAAACTCGTGAGATCATTATTGGTACTTTCAATGGAAATCCGCCCCACTGCTAATTACCACTGTATGCGACCTCAAGTAGGCAAACGGACGGTGACTGGTCACTTTGAAAATTCGATGTCTATGGGGTCTGTGCGTGGGCGGAGTTTTCAGATTCACAATGGTACTCGTTTTCGTCTTTATTCAACTGTTCCAGATCACACATGTACCTGAACGTCCTGAAAGCCGTTGTCCAAGTCGCACAGATTTCATTAAATAGCAGAGAAATCGGCGAAAAATCGAATTACCCAATTTTAAGTTAAAATTAGTGCCAAAAGTACTAACTTCGGAGTTAGTTCGCATGGGTTATATCTGCCTGTCATTCGTCTCAAAAGCTGCAGTGCAGCATTATGTGGGAATTTTGGTTGGATCTTATTTGGCAGCCATTGCTGCAGTAGACAAGCCCCAGCCTTACCGCTAATCCCAAGCCCAAATCACTAACTCCTAACTCCTAAACCCAACCCCTAACCTCTAGCCCCTGACCCTAACTTCTAACCCCAAATCCTAATCCCCGGCAGATGCGGCCACGAAATAAGATCTTGCCGACATTTTACAGTGAGTGACCGATCTCATGAAATGTTGGCTGAAATTCTGAAATGCGTTTTCCATTAGGAAGGATTACTTGGTCGCGGTTGTAATACTGATTATCTTAAGGCATACTCTTATATCATTTCGGACTCAAAAGGATGTCGGCTTTTAAATGTACTTCTTTTCAATCTCCTGTAGAAACCGTGCTCGGTAAAAAATGACTACTTATTTAGCATGCATTTTCCCCATTGAATTACGATGGTCTTGGAAATTCAAATATATTTTATAGAAACCATAAACAAAAATATGCATTCTTATAGTGAATCAATAGATAATCACGTCTTCTTTATATTTTATGCCTAAGGAAGGAGTATAATTAGGTTTTAAAAAAAGTTTTTTATTGCCGAATAATTTGGAACCTGATCATTCGTTGCATTAGCCCTTAGTGATTTCCCTTTACGAAGTGCATGCGTTCCGCGTAAAGAAAATCCCATATTTTTCTATGTCATTAAAGAGATATCATACAGGGTCTATAAAATTTTGCAATGGATGCGGACCATGTTGTACATTTCATGAGGAGCAGTGGTAAACGGCCAGGTACGATACTATGTGAATGGCCATTTCGCGATCTCAAAAAGTCTCATAATTAAAAACTTTTTTAAAACCTAATTATACTCCTTCCTTAGGCATAAAATATAAAGAAGACGTGATTCTCCATTGATTCACTATAAGAAAGCATATTTTTGTTTATGGTTTCTATAAACTATATTTAAATTTCCAAAACCATCGTAATTCAATGGGAAAAATGCATGCTAAATGAGTAGTCATTTTTTACCGAGTGCGCTTTCTACAGGAGATTGAAAAGAAGTGCATTCAAAAGCGGACATCCTGCCGAGTTCGAAATGTTATGAGAGTATTCCTTAAGATAATCAGTATTACAACCGCGACCAAGTAATCCTTCTTAATAGAAAACGCATTTCACAATTTCAGCCAACATTTCATGAGATCGGTCACTCACTGTATGTAGTGATATGTTCATCCTCCCCCTCGAAGATAAAAACTGAAATCACACGCACTTGACAGTCCGACTATCGCAGGCGACGACGTCCGCCCTGGTTAATTATTTTATAGTGAGACGGACTGGCGCGACATCTATCGCACAAATTCTCTTATCTCATCCCCCTTTTCCTTCGATGGGAGGACAGAATCACGAAGACCGGAGGAGAGCGCGGATACGGTAGCAGATGATTTTGGACAAGGAGACAGGATCGCTGGAACAAGAGCTTTATTGGCCTAAAGTTTCGGATTCCTGCTCGAACCCATCATCAGAGACAAAAGGGCAGATATGGGTGGTTCATGCACACAAGGGACTTCAGTATTTATAGGATGCAGTCGTCATGCTAACGCATACCTATGAATATGCACGCCCTCCTCCATTCTGCAGGGATTGTTGCACTTGGTGCGACGACTGTGTGATGACTGTTTGATAGCCTACATTCGCGTCGTTAATGGCTGCAAATTCATTACGTGCGGTGGATGTTGGTGTGAGGACTGCTCGACCATCTGACGCGCTGACCCGGGTGTTGGGAAAAGTGTTCACCTGTACGCTCTCCGCGTGGCTATTTACTCTGCCTGGGCAAAGTCTCAGCGCTTGAGAGAGAGCCCGTAAGGCACAGCGTAACGAGCGAGTTCCGTAAGAACGATCGGTGAGCGCCCCCTAACATTGTATATTCCCGATCGAAAACCGACAGGGCAACGGGCTCATGGCCCAGTGGTTAGAGGCGTGGACTCTTAACTAACTGGTCGCGAGTTCGAGGCTCGGGTGTTCCACACTTCGGGCTTGGGTATGACTGGCTGACGAAGGCTACTAAGTCAGAAACGGGCATTTCATTCTCCCTTGTCTTTGTCGGTAATAACATACTGTGTGATGACTGTTTGATAGCCTACATTCTCATCGTTAAGCGCTACAATTTCATCACGGGTGTTGGATTTGGTATGACGATTTCCCAACCATCTGACCCATCGACCGTGGCGTTGGGAACAGTGTTCGCCTGTGCGCTCTCCGCGTGGCCATTTACTTCGCCTGGACGAAGTCTCAGCGCCAAGTATGGAAGGGGAAGGTTGTTGCACTCGTTAATATGCCGGGGTCCAATGAACCGTGACTCAAGCAGTTCGCGGCTCACGCGGTTCTCACTGCTAGCGAGAATTTCGGCATCGTCGAATTTGAATGTGTGACCGGATCTCGTCGAATGGGCCGCAACTTGAGAGCTGGCGGCATTTTTTTGCACTGCTGCCGTCTGTGCGGTCATTCAGGTCCAGATCAGTATTCCGGATCCTCCGACGTAGTTGCTTTGTCTGCAACTGCACCAGCTCAGATAAACGACTCCAGACGTTTCTTGTCGTGGCAGTGGGTCTTTCGGTTTCATTGCCTGACGCCTGATCGTTGTCTCCGGCCTGTATGCCAGGGTCAGTGGGTTAGACTGTCGAGCGATCATCACACCTTCCTCACGTCATCGAATGGCCATCACACTAAGTGCAACAATCCCCGATGGAGGGGGGGAGCCGTGGATTTTCATAGGTATGCGATGGCATAACGACTGCATCCTCTTTTGCATGAACAACCCGTATCTGCTATTGTCTCTGATGGTGGGTTCGAGAAGGAATCCGAAAGGTTAGGCGAGTAAAACCCTTATTCCAGTGATCCTTTCTCCTTCTTCACGACCGCTTCCTGGGACTCGTCTCCTCGCCTCTATTGGCAACCGAAGGATCTGTCTACGAGTACCACACAACCTGGTCCTCACAGCATGTACCATGCTTTCATTAGGGCATCTGGGATCCCCCATCGGTGAGAGCGCCTTAAAGGCCACGTTGAGAAGGAAACCTTGCAGCTTGGCGTTTAGTCTTCCATTTACCACAATATAATCCCCATGGGAACCGATGTTCCCCGTCGGTTAGCAGTCTTCTAACCCATGACTCTTAGCTTGTTGCAATAACTTCAACTTGTCAGATTTATTATAGTGAGCAGTGCGTTGATTTGCCGTAAGGAAGGATTCCCCAGTATCGGCCTCATACACCCCTATCCTATTCGCAATTTGGCTGTTCGAGTCTGCCATCCAGTAGGTGTTAAGGGCGGGGTTGGGCGTATCAAGTCCCCGGAGGATTTAAATAGCCTATACCGCCTGCAGCCAGTTCTTTTCCACTTCGTTTGTCTGCTCTGGTTCTTTCAATTATTCAGGTCCGCGGAATTGGCGCGCATCAATGAGGCGCTGCAGGACCAATTGGAAGAGGCCGCAATAGCCAATCAGGGCCTCAGTCGCGATGTGGCCCAATTGACGCAGGCCTGGCGTACGGCCACCCAGCAGTTGGAACGGCGTGAAGTGGAATGGCACACGGAGGAGGTTGCCTTCAATGACTACTTCGCCTCGGAGCACAATCGTCTGCTGGCACTATGGCGGGAAGTCGTTGCTCTGCGCAGGCAGTTCACTGAACTGCGTCATCAAACCGCCAGAGATTTTACCCAGGTCGTTTGCTCGGAACCCATGGGCGGTTGAGTTTCCCGGATTTTGTTTTTTGTCCAAGGACAGTGAAACTGCTATTAGCACGCAGGTCTAGAAGAGTTCCTAACCTTGAATTTAGGCGAGTGCGGCAGGACCTATGGAGCTGCTAGCTTCAAATCCCAGCAAAGGCAGGGTAGTGGCAGGTTCTAGGGTACCTAACTTCGCCTGCCAGCCACCCCCCAAGTGTCATGAAAGTCAACCATATTTTCACCACCAGGGAGCATCGTTCGCGCGTGATTTCTAATATAACCGACTGCTGCTAACTTAGAATAAGTTTTCTGCCAAGCTGGAATGGCGATTCACCCAATCACGAAGTAGTTCAGAGATCAACTGTCACGCCTACCGGACTTGATTTAAGGCATAATTGACTACAAAAAACCCTAACTGGTCACTATTAACTGATTTGTTTTTGGTGCTAAAACTCCTAAACTAACAATACAATAGACGAACTAACCCGTGGAACATTAACTGAAGTGACGAAATATGGTTCCGCTCAGGAAAGATCACTTAGGGGGGGTTGTAATACGGATCATCCTGAAGCATAATGACTAGATATTTCGGTCATAGTAGGATACTGGCTTTTGGATGCGTGTCCTTCCGACCGCCTGCAGCAATTGCAAGGAGAGAGTACTTAAGTGGTGCAGTATGTTGCATTTATTTTCGATGTCTTTATAACCCAAACCCATTTGTAGGAAAAATGCATACAGAATCATTCGTAATGTTCATTTTATGCAGTAAATCATGTTCTATTCAAGGCCCCTACTCCGAAAATAATATCTTTTAATTAAAAAAGATTAAAAATTTATGAATAATTTTGAACTCGTTCACCTCTGCTATTGCGTTTAATGTTCTAGAACTGCTGTCTGTAAACTCCCCTTTTGGGGGCCGTCACATATTTGCAATATATATCGAAATTTTGGCATAGTTTAAAAGGGGCATTGATAAACAAACAGACACGACGCCATTGGAATAGGCCTTTCAATGCCTTCAAAACATTCTAATTGCAAGTCTATTTTAAACCAAAGGACTCCATTTTTTCGAATAAAAAAATTTGAGGACTTAAATTATCGCAAAACGAGCATGAGCATGTTTTGTGCATGCGTTTTTTAAGAAAAATGTTTTTATTCATGAGGATATCGGAGGTCAGTTTAATAAAACAAAATCGATTAAGTAGTCGACAGCGTGATATATACGAGTTGCCAGAAAGATGCGCGTACGAAAACTGACATATTGTCATGACAGGGATATCTTGTTGTTAGGTTGCGTGATGAGAGTTTGACCGTGAGCTTCACAGCAGGGACGGTGATATGCACGCGAATTAGTGTACAGTGATGGCAGACTTGCGCTGCATCTACCACACTCTCTCCTCCTCACCCACTAGGGCCTGGTGGAGTCGATAAAACAGGAGGAAGAGTCGGGGGCAGATGGCAGGCATGGCGTGAAACCGTGCCTAGACGTGCCACCAAATTTCCTGCTCCAGGCACAGAGGATCAGGTTTTCACTCAACAAAAAAGGGGGATCGTCTCGGGCCCTAAATGAGTGGAAGCGCCATAGAGGCGGAATTTATAAGCAGGCACTACAGCCTGATCCTTCGTCCTCCGAGGACGACCGAATAGTCTTGTCAGTCGACGGCCCTTCAAGCCACGGCTTGTAACTTATCGCCCTATATATTCAAGCGCATCACATTGCCGAGGCCGTCGGCCTTAACCTCTCTTCTCTCTGCTCTGTAACAATTGATTGTCGGGACGGATCAGTTGAACAGTCCGTCTACGTGTGCCACACACGTGACTCAGTCCCTACATGGCACGCCGGGGTGTCCCACAAAGTAGGTAAGCCGCTCGAATCCCACATGTGTTAGAAAAGTGGAGAAGGCACATGGAGAATGAGACCAGGAGCATGATTTTCACTGGCGTGAGAGTTGATGTGCTCTTATAAGTATCCCAGCCACACCTAGGTAATACTTTCTTAACGGAACCACAGTCAGGCACTTCATTTCGTGCTTCGTAAAGTACGTCATCTGCTGTGTGGGACTTTTTCTTAGTGTAGCAATGTTAGCTGTTAAAAACTGAACTCATGACTTGAAAAAATGCAAGTATTTTGCAGTGATTAGAATGCATCATTAGCTCCTCGTCAAAATACTGTCTCAGCTGGATTTTTAACGCGTCGAACTCCACCTAGTGCTGGAAAGGGCAACCTCTAAGCTCTGGCAACCACGGTGAAAGACGTTTTGATTGGCCGAGAGGCAGGCTTCCTGTGTGGTCTCGGAAGAGCTGTTCTGGTTGCTGCAATGAAGGGCAGAAACCGTCGAGGTCCCAGACTGCGTGGAGATTCCTCATGTCCACCTCGTCACCGGCTTCTCCCATCCTTTGCAGATCAACAGCGAGATCATGCGGTTCAGCCATGGCATGCATGCGGCCTGCACAACCCTGGCAACTAATCTGAAGGCCTCCCAGCTTGAATCGGCGGACGCTCTGGCAAAGAGTCGGCGTCAGCTCATGAAGGAGGAGGAGGATGCCAAACTGCGTGCCCAAAGTCTGACTGAATCGCTGGCACGCAGTCAGTCCAAGCTTGCGGAGGCCGAGAGCAAACTGATAGAACTAGCTCAGAAGAACCAGGAGCTTGCTGCCGAGGTTAGTCTCAAGTCGGTTTTTTTACCGTCGTCTGTTTACATACGACTTTTCATTCAGCTATATATATATATTGATTGTGATACACCAATCAATTATTCAGTAGAGTTTCTGGACAATTTACAAGAAATGAGAAACGCAGCAGATGAACTAATCGTATCCTTCGATGTCGCTTCTCTGTTTACCTCCATATCACCGGATTTAGCAAGACAATGTACAGAAGAACGTCTCCAGTACTACGACATGGATATCGCTGCATCTGCGTTGTTAGAACTCTTAGACCTTTGTCTAGAAACGAACTTTTCATTTGCGCATGAGTAATACCAACAGCTGAAGGGGCCCCTATGGGATCACCCATCTCTCGTTTTCTCACAGAAGTCACTATGAAGAAATAAGAGGCTATCGCCTTACCATTAGTTAACTCCAAATTACGGGCACGATATGTTGATGACACGTTTGTCATTGTTAAAAGTGATAAACTGGAAATACTCCACAATGTTACTAACTCAACACTTCCAGGAATCAAATTCACACTCGAGAAAGAGGCTGACAACAAACTGTTGTTTCTTAATGTCCTCGTACAGAGAAAGCCTGATGGGACATTCCACACTTCGGTTTATCGCAAGAAAACCTACGCGGAAATTCTTTTACATTACGATAGCAATCACCCTATCTCTCACAAACGGAATGCCGTGAACAGCCTCCTGAACCGAACAAGAACTCACTGCTCTGACAGCGAAACCTATCAAGCAAAACTGCATTATTTGTTCAAACTGTTTTCCCAGAATGGATATCCTAGATATTTTGTACACCGATGCATGAGATGGCAAGAGTTAAAAGGAACTAGATTGTTCCGATCAAGGGCTCCAATCAAAAAAACTGACAAACACTTCCTTACATTAAGAATGTGTCCGAGATAGTTGGGTTGGATAGGGTTGGCTATTTAGATAAGAAGGAAGTCGTCTATAAGGAACCATGCAACACCTGTAATACGGTTTACAGTGGTCAAATCGGGAAATCGGTCTCTACACGAATACACGAACATAAGTTGGCCGTAAAAAGGCGAGATCGCTCGCCTCAAGTTGCCATGCTTACACTGGAAACTGGACACAAATTCGTCTGGGACAGAACTCGCATCGTAGGTGTTTGCTCATCTAAGAAGGACCGTGACTTTTTAGAGGCAATCCATTCTGACAACTTACGCATCAACTGACACGTAGAATTGGATGCGGTGTACAACAGTCTCAAGGAGAAGTGGAAAAGGCATTAGCCAGTTGCTGGCACCCTCAACCGAGCCATAGACCTACATCCCGCCTATCAGGTGCTTCGCGCGAGGCTCGAGTCAATCCACGTAAGGCCAATGGCACGGATGAAAGGAATCCCACGGGGTCGACTACCGACGCTGGCGGAGAGGGAAGGCGCTGACCGAGAGTCACGTAACCGGCGTGGCACGCTATCTCACGGACGTACTCGCGAGGGTGGAAAGGCCATGCCTGAGGAACGAAAATCGATCAGTCCGCCATCTAACGAGGGGAGGACAACGAGCACGCCAACGCAGCGGCAACCACGTCAGGCATGAGGGAGACACAAGGCACGCCAGTCCGCCAATGGCTGGGATCATAGAGGCCACAATCGGCCAACGGAAAACAGGCTGACCAACGTGCGTGCGCCGGACACGGTTATAATACGAGGCAGGCGGCAAGGCTGAACAAACCGAGGCCAGCAGGAAACGCCAGCGACCGACTCTGATGATGGAAACGACAGTGTTTCCGAAACGTCAGTTTGAATACACTCTGGTACATAAAATCGCCTTCTCTTCTTCATCTTCCTCGGGGGATGACAAACACGATATATATATTTGAAGATAATATATATATATATATGTATTTGTAAATGACACATTTGTTATCGTTAAAAAGGACCAATTGGAAGCGCTCCACAACAATATAAACTCGACGATTCCGGGGATTACGTTCACACTCGAAAAGGAAGTCGATAGTAAACTGCCCTTCCTGGATGTTCTCGTCCAACGAAAGACTGACGGAACACTACGTACATCAGTTTACCGTAAAGACACTTACGCGGAAATCACTCTACCTTACGAGAGCAATCAGCCAATTTCTCACAAACGGGGTGCTGTCAAAAGTCTGCTTAATCGAGCAAAAACACATGCTCTGATAAAGAAGGCTATCAAGACGAACTAAAATTCTTGTGTGAATTGTTTTCGCGGAATGGGTACCCTAGACATTTTGTGCGCCGATGCATGAGACAGAAAGAGTCGAAGAGAAAGGAGCCAGGTAATCTAAATCAGACGTCCGGACCAAAAACCTGGCGAGCACTTTTTTACATTAAAAATGTGTCTGAACCCGTTGAAAAACACTTAAGGAAGCACCAAATTCAGGTGGCGAACCGACCGACAACTACTTTGCACACTCAGCTCGTGCACCCTAAGGATAGGGTTAACTTTCTGGACAAGAAAGAAGTCGTTTACGACATCTCTTGTGATGCATGTGATGCCGTCTATTGTGGCCAGACTGGAAAATGCGCCTTTACACGCATTCACGAACAACGGTTGGCAGTGAAGAAGCGAGACCACCTGCCTTAAGTAGCCATGCACAGCCTGGACACCGGACACACTTTCGCTTGGGAAAAAACTCGCATTGTCGCTGTGTGCCCCTCAAAGAAAGGCCGAGAGTTCCTTGAGACCATGCACTCAGACGAATCATGCATCAACCGGCACATCGAGTTGGATGCCGCGTACAGAAATCTCAAGGAGAGATGGAAGAGGCGAGGACCAATCAGAACGGACTGACACACACGACGACCGCTTACTGGCGTGAACGTCAAGCGATTATCGATTTTTTAAGTGCACTTAAGATGTTAACTGTGTTAGCACATTTGCCCTCCGTCTGTGCCTGACGACGACTCGGGGAACCGGCGTCGAAAATTTGCACAATAAACTTCCTTTCCCAAAGCACACATTCGACTTCGACTTATATTTCTAGGGATGCCTACCTTCCAACATCTAAGATATATATATATATATTATGATAGTGGGCGCTCACCGATCAGGTTACGCCCGCATTCGCGACAATTAAGGTCAACGCGAATGCGGGCGATGGCCACCAACGTTCAAATGCCGCCCCCCGACGAGAGACAGGCAGATTGACAGCAGTCACCCTCCCTCCCGCTCTGCCCCGGCGACTACAGAGACGACCCCTGTGCGTATGCGGGCCATTAGCGCCAAAGCCGATTAACCATCCCCTCCCCCCTATAATTACCACCGTGTTAGCATGACTGATATCTATCCCCCTCCTATAAATACTGTGTGATGCCGTACGATACTCACCTCCGACGATGAAAGCTTGTCTGCTTTTGAAACGTCAGGACAATACAATCATGGTTCCCGAGATCGCCTCTTCTTCTCATTTATGTCCGGGGACTCGAATCTTCGCTTCTATTAGCAATATTTTCGGGCGCCAAGCACTTGAGTCAGCACGACGTTGGGAAACCTTTACCCTTCGTGTGTCATCTACGTACGCGCAAATTCAATTCCTCCACAGATGCCTTGACAATCATGTGCTTCCGAAGAGCTTGTCTTACAGGCCACCGGTAAACACAAGTCTGGCGAAACGATGGGTGATGCAACACAGTAGGCGAATGATCCGGGCGCTCCTTCAGGACTGCCATCTTCGACTGCGGAAATACAAAGGGGTTCTGAGCCAAGCGATCGCTAAATGCACTGAACTCATCGGCGAAGACGGAACTATGCTGTTGAAACAGGAGATTGATAAACGGGCCAGGGAACTACGAGCAAAACGAGATATCGAGCTGGCAGATAAGCTTCGAAATATCAGCCGCACGTTTCAGGAGGAGAACGACGTCCTAGTCCACAATCTATCCTCCAAAGAGCTGACTCCTGAACAACTAAAAGTGCTGAGTCACGAGGCCTGCTTCAATACCACAGACGCCGATCCGGTCAACCTTGTGGCAACAGTGGAATCGATTCTCAAACAAACCGAGGAATCCGACGAAACAAAACACCTCGTTCGGCAACAGGTAACCGCCTTGGTGATGGCCCACAAACCACGCGCAAATATCACCAGAACGGAACAGGATGCCCTCAAGAAACTGAAGGCCGACACGAGCATTGTGGTACTGCCAGCAGACAAAGGGCGTTCTACTGTTGTCTTGGACAAGACCGACTACATTCAGAAGGCTAACAACCTGCTGGATGATCGACAGGCCTACCTCCGATGTGATGATGAGCCGATGAGGAAGCTGCTGACGCAGTTGGACAAAACGCTCGCTGAAATGCAAACGAACAAAGTAATAAGCAAGTCAGTACGACTGGCCGTTAAACCAACAGATGCGGCCGCACCAAGGTTCTACGGACTACCCAAAGTGCACAAGGTCGATGTCCCCCTCCGACCAATCGTGTCACTTCGCGGCGCGCCAACATTCAATCTGGCGAAATGGCTGTTCCGACACCTGAGGCCTCTCACCTCAGGCGCAACCACAACGGTCTGTTCAGCTACTCAGTTTCTGGAACGGCTCAGAGGAACGCGACTCACTGCAGACGAGGTCATGGTGTCATTTGATGTCACCTCTCTCTTCACTTCAATCCCGCAGGACCTGGCCATCGAAACGGTCAGCGAATTACTCGAGAGGCAGTATGACGAGACGGACAAGTCAGTGAAGCGCAGACATCTAGTCCAACTATTAAAATTCTGCCTGAAGACGTACTTCACCTTCGAGGGGACCATGTACGAACAAATTAAGGGGACGCCGATGGGATCGCCTCTCTCCGGCTTCATCGCTGAGACAGTTCTGCAAAAACTAGAGAGCCTGGTTTTCACCACTCACAGGCCAAAGTTTTGGATTCGGTACGTGGACGACACCTTCGTCATCATCAAGCGAGAAATGATCGAGGAATTTCACATCGTCCTGAATTCCGTCTTTCCTGACATCCAATTCACGATGGAGGCGGAAAACAACAACCAGCTGCCATTTCTGGACGTTCTTGTCCATCGAAAGCCCAACGGGCACATAAAAACGACGGTGTACAGGAAGGCTACCAACACACGCCAAATCCTAAACTATCACAGTAAACACCCGTTATGTCACAAACGCAGTTGTGTGCGAACTCTCTACAGTAGAGCAGAAACACACTGCAGCGAACCGGATGACAGAAGGACAGAACTCCGCTATCTTCAGCGCCTTTTCATGGCCAACGGATATCCCCGTAACTTCATCGAGCGCAGCAGGCAGTCTAAACCAGGCCAAAATCGGGTGACAGAACAGCCAAAAGTCTGGCGTGCACTGCCATACATCGACGGCGTCTCTGAGGCAGTTTCCCGTCTCCTAAGGCCCTTGGGGATCGGGATCGCTCATCGACCAGACTCAACCATTCGGCATTTGGTTATGAGACCGAAGGCCCCCTGCCACGAGGTGAGACGACAAACGTCATCTACCGGGTCAAGTGTAACTCTTGCCAAGCAAACTACGTCGGAGAGACAGGCAAACGGTTACAAACTCGCGTTAACGAACACATGCGGGCAGTGAGGAGAATGGACCCATTGTCTCTGGTGGCGGAACACTGCGCGGACTCTGGACACACTTTTGCCTTCCAGAATGCCAAAATTCTGGGTCGAGGCAACGACCGCGTAGCCAGGGAAACGATCGAGGCCTGGCACACGGAAACAACCTCAATAAACCGTTGCGTCGCCCTCCCGACAGCATACCAAGCCCTCCGGACGCAGCTCAACGAACTAAAGGGCAAGCGCGAGGTCAGGCCGAAAGTGGATCTAGACACGGGAGAGCCTACGACGGACGTACACGTAGCCACACCGCAAATCGGGCCCGACGAAGGCGCAGTCATCAATACTGTTGCCTCAACTACTACTCCGGCAGACGGGGAGAAACGCGATCAGAGGGATGCAATCAAGACTAGCAACCCAGCACGACAATTAAGGTCAACGCGAATGCGGGCGATGGCCACCAACGTTCAAATGCCGCCCCCCGACGAGAGACAGGCAGATTGACAGCAGTCACCCTCCCTCCCGCTCTGCCCCGGCGACTACAGAGACGACCCCTGTGCGTATGCGGGCCATTAGCGCCAAAGCCGATTAACCATCCCCTCCCCCCCTATAATTACCACCGTGTTAGCATGACTGATATCTATCCCCCTCCTATAAATACTGTGTGGTGCCGTACGATACTCACCTCCGACGATGAAAGCTTGTCTGCTTTTGAAACGTCAGGACAATACAATCATGGTTCCCGAGATCGCCTCTTCTTCTCATATATATATATATATATATTATGACAGTGGGCGCTCGCCGATAAGGTTACGGAACATGCTCGTTCCGTTGTGCCTTGCGGCTCATATTAGAACCCTCACAGTCAGGTATGACTGGCTGATGACGGCTAATAAGCCAGAAATGTCCATTCCGGTCTCCCTTGTCTTTGTCGGCTCCATCTCGTATATATATATATATATATATCGGGTGAGAGTGCAGATGGCCTATTTAAACCCTGTATTTCTCACTTAGCCTATCTCCGATGATGTGCTCGAGCATGAACACGAAACGTCAGATGAATAAACCTTCTTCCCCAGAGATCGCCTCATCCTCCTTATCCATATTAACACCTGGGGTCAGCATTTTTGCCTATATTCATATATATATATATATCTATATATATATATCAGGAATGGGCGCACACCGATCTATTGGCTTCACGAAGCAAACAAGCTCCGTATGTGTGGCAAAGGTCACGAACAGGCAACCAATTACCCGAAACAGTGCTGTATCAATCTACCCGCATTCTCTGTCGTCCCTCCTCGCTGATATATATATATATATATATCAGCGAGGAGGGACGACAGAGAATGCGGGTAGATTGATACAGCACTGTTTCGGGCTTATTCTGCCTTCATTCAGCCAATCATAACCCTGACCACCAGCAGTTGGAACCAGAAACACAAACATGCGCACAGACGCACCTGGCGCAGTCGGTCCACCACTGAGGCCTACCAGTGACAGAGAATGACAGGTGGCGAGGCACTGATGAACTTCGGTTCGATGAAGTGCTTATGACCCATCTGGTAGACCCCAGTGATGGACCAGCTGCGCCGGGTGCGTCTGTGCGCATGTTTGTGTTTCTGGTCTCAGCTGCTGGTGGTCAGGGTTATGATTGGCTGAATGAAGGCAGAATAAGCCCGAAACAGTGCTGTATCAATCTACCCGCATTCTCTGTCGTCCCTCCTCTCTGCTATTATGACTTGGCCGACTTCGGCCTGGTAATTGGTTGCCTGTTCGTGACCTTTGCCACACATACGGAGCTTGTTTGCTTTGTGAAGCCAATAGATCGGTGTGCGCCCATTCCTGATTGATATATATATATATATATATATATATATATGTATGCGAATTGGAAAGCAGGCATCCCAAGAAATGTAACTTGAAGGCAAGTACGTTCATTGAGAAAAAGAGAACACTTTTCCGTGTCGTCGTCAGAATCGAGTAAATGTGCAAAAAACAGGTAACATTTCATACGTGCTGAGAAATCAATATTCATTTGATGCTTTAGCCAGTAAGCGGTCGTCATGTGCGTCAGTCTGTTTCGATTGGCTTTCGTCTTTTCCACTTTCCTCTTAGATTTTTGTACGTGGCATCTAACTCGATGTGCCTGTTGATGCATGACTCATCGGAGTTCTTTGCTTCAAGTAGCTCTCAGCCTTTTTTGAGATGGGCCGACTCCGACTATGCGAGGTTTGTCCCATGCGAAGGTGTGCCCAATATCAAGGGTGTTCATGACCATTTGAAACAGGTGGTCTCGCCTCTTAACTGCCAGCTGATGTTCGTGGATGCACGTAGAGGCAGATTTTACCTTTTGGCCACAATATACGGCATCACAGCCATCGCATGGGATCTTATAGACGACTTCATTTTTATCGAAATAATCAGCCCTATCCTTAGAATGTACAAGTTGAGTGCGTAAAGTAGTCGTCGATTTGTGCGCCATTTTTATTTGATGTTTCATTAAGTGTCTTTCAGCAAGTCCAGACACATTCCTGATGTAAGGAAGGATTCGCCAAGTATTCACTTGGTTTTTGTCTCGTGTTGTGTCATGCATCGACGTACGAAATCTCCGGGGTAAACGTTCTGGGAAAATAATTCAAACAGGTAGTTTAGGTCAACTTGTTGGCCTTTTTCATCAGGGCAATGTGTTTCTGCTCTACGTAGCAGACTTTTGGCAGTACCCCGCTTGTGAGAGATTGGGCTGTTGCTCTCATAGTGTAGAATTATTTCCGCATATGTTACTTTGCGGTAAACGGACGTATGTAATGTTCCGTCAGTCTTCCGCTATACGACAACATTTAGAAATAGGTAACTGTCATGCCAAGACTGGTTTTACATATGTAGTCAGGGCGGCAGGGAGGAAGGGGCGAGGAGGGAGTCCTCGAGCATCTTGTTGCCGGATGAGGTGATGGTGTATCAGCTTCAGTGGTCACTATCCGCATGCACACAGGGACTGTGGCTAACGGGGGGAGGGAGTGTGACGGAATATATTCAATTTACATCGGGGCCGGCGTTGACACATTAGCGGCTGTCGTTCGTACCTTCATTGACCATGGCTGTCGTCCAAGGTTGACAGTCTTGGTTACGCTGCCACGACTGTCTGTTTTCTCATCTGCCGGAAAAGTGGATGGTACGGCTGTACTGACGACTGCGCCTTCGTCGGACCCGGGCTAAGAGGCAGCTGGGTGTGTATTCGCCATGGAATTGTGCATGTTTGGATTCATGTTTAGCCCGGGGTCGCGCTTGCTCAGCTGTTCATTGAGCTGTGCCCGGAGGGCTTGGTACGTCACGGGAAGAGCCACTCAACGGTTGATGGAGGTTGTCTCCGTGTGCCAGGCCTTGACTGCTTCCCTGGCTATGCGGTCGTTACCTCGACTCCGAATTTCGGCCATCCGGAAGGCGAACGTGGGTCCGGAATCGGAGCAGTGTTCTGCCACCAGAGACAACGGGTTCATCCTTCTTACTGCCCACATGTGTTCTCCAACAAGGGCCTGTAGTCGTCTGCCGGTCTCCCCACTGTAGGTAGCTTCGCAGGGGTTACATTGAATCTGGTAACTGACGTTCGTGGTTTCACCTCGTGCTGAACGGAGTGCTGAAGACCAGAAGAGTCATCTTCGGCTTATTACTTATCGCAAGCCAAGCGCACGCAACCCAGGGTTCGGAATACATTATGGCACTCGAGTGATGCAACTCAGTTAATATTACCTCCTCGCTCTGTCGTCGCCATGGACGATGGTAGGCAGCAGTTCCAAAGGTGAGTCGGAAAGCAGTAATCCCTCCCGCAAGGCAGGACGGCCAAATACCCCTCCCCCCAAGATGATTTGTGCGACGTTCCCATGATAAATGTGCCATCTCGCGAACTGTTAACCGGAATTCTGACATTTGTTTCTAATTTGAAAGGATTGCTTAAGTAGAGTTGTAATATCAGCCATTCCGCAACAAAATCCAGAGATATTTCGGCCATTTCTGGATACCAGCGTTTGGTCGAGCATACTCCCGGTTGCCTGTAAAACCTGCAGGCGGCTACGCATGACTTCTTATTTAGTATGATTTTTTCTCTTTGATTTTCGATGTTTATGTGAATCCAAATAGATTTTCTAGAAATGATGTAGAAGAATGTTCCTACCTGTAATCATTTGGCAGCTCCACGGGCCTCACACCTCGGAGTTGGGCATGGCTGGCTGCTGACGGCAAATAAGCCAGAAATGGCGGGACTCGAGATAGGGAGCCGAAAAACCGCAACAGATATAGAATTCGGACAAGGGGACTGGGACGGCCATTCCGAGCTTAGTAGGAACGACCAGCCAGTTCAATCGCAGGTGTGCAGCATCTGCGCTTCCATCCCGTCTGTTTTGTTCATCAAGCGTTACTGAGTATAGCGCTGCACCCTTTGATCCACGGGCCCGTTGACATGTCGGCTGCTAGTAGGAGTAGTGACTATGTTGGTAGTACAGTGAGTGACCGATCTCATGAAATGTTGGCTGAAATTCTGAAATGCGTTTTCGATTAGGAAGGATTACTTGGTCGCAGTTGTAATACTGATTATCTGGCGGCATACTCTTATAATATTTCGGACTCGGCAAGATGTCGGCTTTCAAATGCACTTCTTTTCAATCTCCTATAGAAAGCGTACTCGGTAAAAAATGACTACTTAAGTGTCATGCATTTTTCCCATATTCATAAACTTTTTTAAAACCTAATTATACTCCTTCCTTAAATATAAAATATAAAGAAGACGTGATTCTCTATTGATTGACTAAAGGAAAGCATATTTTTGTTTATGGTTTCTATAAACTATATTTAAATTTCCAAAACCATCGAAAATCAATGGGAAAAATGCATGCCATTTATGTAGTCATTTTTTTACCGAGTACGCTTTCTACAGGAGATTGAAAAGAAGTGCATTTAAAAGCCGAAATCCGGTCGAGTTCGAAATGTTATAAAAGTATGCCACAAGATAAGCAGTATTACAACCGCGACCAAGTAATCCTTCCTAATCGAAAACGCATTTTAGAATTTTAGCCAACATTTCATGAGATCGGTCACTCACTGTATGTTTGCTGATTGGGCTACGGAATCCGGACGTCGCACAGCGTCTACCAGTGTACGTGGAATGAGATTGTAGACAAGGACAAGGGAGACTGCGTTTGGACTCTCTAGCTCATCAACTGTCATCAGCCAGGCATTCCTATCCACAAATCAGAATAGCTTGGGATTCCGATCCGGTTCTTTGCTCATTGACCATTAAGTAATGCGACGATCTACCGTTGACCCATTAGTCTGTTGACCGTTAGGTAGCTGTCAGTGATATTCACTATCATGGAATAGACGTTCATCGATCACCCCCTGCCTGTCCTTTGGGTTCAACCTGTAGCCATTTCAGGCAGACCCATAACGACAGGTGAATATACGGAAGACGAAGCACGGACAAAGTCAACGGACACTGGAACGATTATTTCTGTCCTAATGATAGTTCGGCCATCGCATCCGATCTGGTCCACAGCAAGGTGATAGCAGGCAGGCTGATTTGACCATGAATTAGTTTACAGTGTGAGACCGAAATCCTCGCAAGGGGTGACAACCACGTGAGCCGCGAGCTGCTCGAGTCATGGTTCTCAGGCCCGCGATCCATCACCAAGCACAATGACCTCCCGGTACCATATTCCGTGCTGAGGTTTTCCCTGGACAGGGGAATCAGTCACGTGGGGAGGGCGCGGGCAAGCACTGATCACAGTGACAGTAAGCCAATTTGCCGAGCAATCGTCACACCAGCATCCAGCACAGATGACGAAACCACGGCCATCAACGACTCGGACTCGGACTGACAAGCGACCACCGCATCAATTACGACCCCAGTGATGAATGCGAGAACTGTTAATTGCAGTGCGCATACGGTCCCACGGCAGCCACGGGCTATAAATACTGCACTACTAGTGCCACCATCACCTTTATCTGCGAATGCCTCTAATGATGAATTCGAGTGGGAATCCGGAACGTCAGACCAATAAACTTCTTGTTCCAGTGATCGCATCTTCATCTTCTGAAGTGTGGGTCCACTTTCGCAGCATACACTGCGCTCTCTCCTCCTCCTCCTGCCCGCCTGGGCCCGGTGTCAAGACAGAGTCAGGAAGACCGGAGACGGGGAGGGCGCAGGTGGATGGCACGGCCGATACCGCACCTTGGTGTTCACCCCACACCCCCTGCTCCACAACAAACACTTGACCAGGATTTCGAACAATAACAGCAACACCACAACCGGGTCAGAAGGACAACGCGAATGACTGGGCAGCCATGCACACGGCCTGTATACCCAGCGGGAGCGCAAGCGCATCTACCACCAGAGAACCAGGTACCAGAGAATTGCCGGCGCATGCCAAGCTGCGATGGCCATGGTTTGCTGATCATGGTATAGCGGATGCTCACAAACCTTACTCTACCCTAATAACGGTCATCAGTTAGTCTTACCGAAACTCGTGTTTGCGTAAGCTGGAAGGATTTATAATGTACGATATTAGCAGACCACCGTTATGAGAGAGAGAGAGAGAGAGAGAGAGAGAGAGAGCATAGGAGTTAGGCCGAGGTGCCTGGGCAGGTGTCTGCGGGCTGTCTGTGTTAATTCCCGCGTGCAAGTTTCGACTGAATGTCAGGCTGATCCAGTTATCGATCAATTGGCTTGGCTCGCCGCAGCAGAGGACACATTCATGCAGTCGACCCTAGCGGGGGTAGCCGCTGAGTGCAGCGTAGACCGGACGTGGGTTGACGTGATTCAGCGCACTGCAACTTGCAGGGTATTTTAATTGACGGAAGTTGCTTGTTAGCAGTCGCAGAAATCCAAAAAATGAAAGTGGAAATTGGACGCATGTCCGTTTTCGCTAAAATAAAAAAAGAGAAAACAATTTCCAGAGTAGCTGGGGAAGCCTGCTCAACAAATTGTGAATTCTGATGTTTTCTCCGGAATAATTAAATCCTCTACGAGTTAGAATTAACGGCCCGACGGGCATACTTACTTGCATACTGGTTGCATTCTATTTCAAGGAATAAAAAGTGACTTTAGTAGCGGAAAAAAATGCGCTGTAAGCGATAACAGTTTGATGGAAGAAAAATGCATGCTTGAGATTGCATCCGTCAATTCCTAGCTCGCAGTCGCTTACCAGACTCTCGACCTGCAACTTTCTAAGGAAGTTTTTTTCCTGCGATATCTCGATCCGAAAAAACGCGAAGGCCTTCTAGTCCTAGTCAATCTCATCTTAAACAGGATAAAAACGAGCGGTTCACATCGAATCCGTTTAGCACTATCTAAAAACATATAGTTTGACGTTAATCAGTCGGCTGGCTGCATGTTACACTAATAATTGACTAATATTTATATTAATATTTGCCTTCCATAAATGCAATTTTAAAAAGTTGTTATGCCTACACTGCTTTATTTACTCAGGTGTTTGCCTAAACAAACAGAGCACGCTTCTAAAAGCTAATTTTTTTAACTTTCACTTTGCTTGGGAACAACGTCCTTTATAAACCAACGTAATATTACTTCCCTTGTGGCTTCATTCGCTTGAACATCGTCCATTATTAATCGGGGGTTTTGGGCGTATTTGAACTGATTTCTGATTGGTAAGTTTTATTTTTTACACGCAAGCATACTTCATCAGTCACGTCATCTACTGTGAGCTAATGAATTTCCATCTCAGAACGTGGAGATAAAATCTATGAAAACGCCCTTGTGCAGCAAAGTCCGGTAATGATTTCGTGGAAATACTGACTATTTTGTCCTACGGGAGAGTTTGAAAAATATAGGCGAAAGTACAATTCTAAAAAGTTGCTGCGTTCGGTATCGAGGTTGGTCCAGAAAATCTTCTTAATCGGAAGTAGTTGACGTCGCGTAAAAAAACGGAAATTTCAAGTTCCGTCCTGCATTTAGGATGGATGCGTGCGCATCACTCCCAACTGTTCCCAATCTCAGCTGACATGTCGGAAGGCCGTAGAAGAGTGGAGTGGGCGTTACTCGTTGATTTGAACTAGAGCCTTGGCACTGCACACCTGAGTTGGTCATCGCTGGTCGGTCAAGTGGTCATACCAATATCGCTGTCTCTGTCGGTAGAAATTTCTGATACAGTTTAAAACAGTCAATGCACACATACACACAAGCAAACCTGGGGTTTTGAAGAAGGAGACACGATCGCTGGGACAAGAGCTCTATTAGCCTGACGTTTCGGATTCCTGCTCGAACCCATCATCAGAGACAAAACAGATACGGCTGGTTCATGAATAAGGGACTGCAGTATTTATAGGATGCAGTAGCCATGCTACCGCATACCTATGAATATTCACGGCTCTCCCTTCATCCGGGATCATCGCACTTGGTGGGATAGCCGACATTCGCGCCGTTAATTGCTGCAATTTCATCACGTGCGTTGGATGTTGGTGTGATGATTGTTCGACCATCTGGCTCAGCAACCCCGGTGTTGGGAAAAGTGTTCACCTCTGCGCTCCCCGCATCGCCAATTACTCCGCCTAGGCGCAGTCTCAGCACCGAGTATGAAAGGATAAAATCTTTGCACTTGTTAAAGGACCGGGGGCCAGTAGATCATGACCCAAACAGCTCTCGGCTCAAGCGGTTGTCACCTCTTGTGTGAATTTCGGCCTCGTCGAATTTGAATGTGTGGCCGGATCTCGTCGAATGAGCTGCAACTTGAGAGCTGGCGTCATTTCTCCGAACCGCTGCAGCGTGTTCGACCGTTCATATTGGGAGCTGCCTTCCGGTTTCTCCGAAGTAGTTGCTTTGTCCGCAACTGCACCAGATCCGATAAACGACTCCATAGGTTTCTTGCTGTGGTTGCGCAGAGTTCGCTAATGACGATGCATTAGCCGAAAGTGTACATCTCAGCCTCCCTTGTCTCTGTCGGCATGCAGGCGAGCAGGATCCTGTAGCGTCCGCTATGGCTCAGTACGTAGGAGTGAGGTATTCAGGTAGTGTGTAGTACGCGCAGAGGGATTGTCCAGCAGCGTTAGCCACTGCGCCCGAGACAACCTGTGGTTGTCCCGAATTTGTCTTGTCACCACGTGGAAGCAGAATAGGGGGGGGGTCCTAGGTGCACCGCAAGTGTAATACCACTGTCGCGGTATTGCTAGTATTATAATTTTGTATGTCAGTTGTTTATGTCGTACTCACGACATAAACAGATGTCTGTGTTAATTCCCGCGTGCAAGTTTCGACTGAATGTCAGGCTGATTCAGTTATCGATCAATTGGCTTGGCTCGCCGCAACAGGGGACACATTCATGCAGTCGACCCTAGCGGGGGTAGCCGCTGAGTGCAGCGTAGACCGGACGTGGGTTGACGCGATTCAGCGGGCTGCAGCAGCTGCATGACGCGACTGCGAGGAGTTCAGCGCCGCTCAGCACCTCCAGCGTTCCCTCTGCGAACTCCAGATAAATACCAAGCTATTAATTCCTGAAATTAATTAATGTAGAACTTGGAGCTTAGTATTCAGGATAGGCCATTTTGGGGTCAACCCCTATGGCTTTGTGGACATTTGAGTTGAAGACAATCACCTTTTGTGGAATACCTGAGTAAGATACATACAGGCGTAGAAAGATTTTAATCGCAGTTGCCGAAAAATGTACAAAAAGTAGGGAAGACGATTTCCGGATCCAACCTCTCCAGCACTTATTTAAGTCTATCATAGCGTGTAGATGGAATGTAACGTTCGGCTGAAATTTAAACTCCTCTCCGAATGGATTGGTCTTTAACCGCGCTATTGATCGGTTCTCAGGGAGCTTCATCCATCAGGTGCGGCTGCATAACCACATCTTACCACCATATCAGCCAAGCTAGCTAACAATAAACTTATAATTGCAAAATGTACGTTGGTTCACTGTGCAAACAGAAACGGCGTTAAGAGGAGAGCATATGAGGTTCAAAAAATTAAGCAGTGGATTTGAGCAATATTGTTAACTTTACAAGCCACATTTGTAAATGACGTTTCATGAACGGCCATTTAACGGTATTAAAAATTCTCACAATTAGAAACTTTTTAAAACCGAATTATACTCTACACTTGAGTATGAAATTCGAAGAAGACGTGATTTTCTACCAAATAGGTAAAAGAATGAATATTTTTATGCATGTTTTCCATGAAATATAATTGAATATTCAAGGACATCGAAAATCAATGAGAAAATTGCATACTACATAAGTAGTCGTTTTTTGCAGAATATAGATCTTGCATGCAGCCGAAAATAAGTTCTTTCGAAAGCCGACACCCTGAGGTAACTGGATCATTATAGATTTATGCTGCATCATGATTAGTTTTACAACACTACTTAATTTATCTTTTCGAAAGGAGAACGCATTTCGACATTTTGGTTGACATTTCATGAGTTAGCACATCTACTGTAGTTGTGTTTTCCTTCACTGCAGCATGTTTTTAAAATTGCCGTAGATAATCTGATGAACGTCAGTATGTCCCAAGTTTTCACTAAACAAAAGTGATATGTTTGTTGGTGTCCATGTAATATGCCCACTCTGACGGAAAGTAACCGTCAAGAAACCATCTCAGATAATCCTCGAACGAAAAAAATGGCCTTTCAAAATAGCCTAAGCTTTATGAACGCACGAATATTTGGATTGTTTGCTGACTGGCGTGCTTCAGTTTGCTCTGAATCATTCGAACAGAGTTCGAACACAGCTAAGTTTTTCGCCAATGGGTGATGCCGCTGAAATATATAATTTGTCTTGCATAAAGGACTTTTATGAGCATTGCAGTTTGCTATTGCCGAAAATGAGAAGTCGGCCTAAATTTCAGCCTTTATGTCAAATTTGATATTTGCGTCGACCGAGGTCAGTACTTTTTATGTGCCAAATATCAGATGTTTTCGCGATAATAACACTTTCATTGATATGGGAGCCTATAACGTTGGTTGTTATCCGGTATTTAATAATTCATCTCTTCCCTGTGGGGCCACTTCGGCAATTATACCCAATTCGGGAGGCAGTAGAGTGTGTTTAATTTCACTCCGTAATTTCAGTAAAGACAAATTTCTCCTATGTAAATGTTCTTTTATTTACATAATATTTATTATGGCACAGTCGCATGCGAGCACATTAGGTGAGCTAACTCATGAAATGCTTACCGAAATTTGGGAATGCGTACGCGTTTCGAAAAGATTAATTAAGTTCGGTTGTAAAACTAATTATCATGCAGCATATTTCTATAATAATCCGGTTACCAAAGGGTGCCGGCTTTCGAATGGACTTTATTTCCGCCTGCATACAAGAACTATACTCTGCAAGAAATGACTACTTAATTACCATTCAACTTTCTCATTGATTGTCAACGCCCTTGAAATTTCAATCATATTTCATGAAAAACATGCGTAAAAAGTTAATTCGTTTACTTATTGGGCAAAAAATCACGTTTTTATTTAATTCTTTACTCGAAAGAATGGTAAAATTCGGTTTCAAAAACGTTTCAAATCGTGGTATTTTTAATACTCAGAAATAACCGTTCATGAAACATCATGCATCAGGTGCGGCTGCATAACCACATCTTACCCTATTAGGCTATCCGGACGTTCCGAGGTAGGCCTAGGGAGAACAATCGTGTGACCGCCATGGACAGTTGTTTTTTCGCGTAAAAGCTGGTGCGAGTTCACGCATTCATATCTCAGCATTCTTCCAGGCTTCGTTAGTTTAAGGTCATTAAGTCGTCAACATTCCACTCGGCAAATAGCGCCAGAACTTAACCGTCTAGTAATTGTCTTTCGGATGCACACACACTGTTCCTGAATGGCTGTTTTCAACCCGTCTGTAGTCGACTTTAAACTGAGTCACACCTTTGCATTCGTCTAAGATTATGTGCTCAAGTAGGAGTTTAAAAGCGCTTGGCCCAAAGATCAGTTTTTGCTTCATCAAAACATTGGGTACTTACTTTTTTCGATATTCGGAATTATTTCAAACGTTCGAGAATAAGTATTCTCTTAATCACGCCGGGACCTTTTAAGGGACTGGTCATGACTTGACTTAACTTACGATTTTGAGTTCTGAACGTCAAGATTACAGAGAGGAATCCCTCCTGATGAGGCTGGCCAAAGCTGAAAACGTTTCTTCGATGATCCAGCCACTTGGCGATGTTGACTATCTGAGGCGGAACTTGCATGAACTGTAATCAGATGGAAGTGAGACAGCCCTAAGGCGACTAAGACCGGTATTGTAAAAAATATTTGAATTTGCTATGGTTTTTTTTCAGCTCACAGAGAGGGACAGGGTACTAAACACCCTCCAGCGCTTGCGTTCCTCCTTCCCTCGGCTGACCGCGGAGACCCTTGAGGAGCAGGCTGGCCCCATCCAGCCCTCCGCTGCCGGCACGGCCACCGACGATCCGATCAGTGCCACCCGTAGGCTGATCGAGCAGACTTACACCATGCACCAGGCCCTCTCTCAGATTGCCCAGGTAGGTGTTGTCGGCAGACCGTTCACGCCGACAGCGGAGTGACAGGTATTCGACCAGCACTGGCTAATACCCCCTCCTGACCTTCGACCAACCAATTAAAATGAAGGCAGGTCTACGTGAGCCGAGCGCGGTCGAAGGCAAAAATCGATAAACCCATCAACTGCAAACGCGCGTGCGTCGATAACCCAATTAGTCGCAATTAGTGACCTAACTGATGAAATGTGTCGAAATTTACAAATGATTGCCAGTCACTCGCAAACCGACACCATTTCATGAGTCCGATTTCTATGTTGATTAAGTACAAGTTTAAAAAAATTAAAAACATAAAAGAAGTATTATAGGCAGTTTTGCGTTATTTAGAAATTCCGATTTGTTTTGAAAAGCGCAATATCCCGAAAACGTCAGAAATGGCTCTGATTAAGTAAAGTTCGTTTTTAGATGTATTTAATGTATTCTCATACCAAAAACGTAGTAAATATGAAAGTAGACGTAAAATAACGTCTAATAACAATGTTTTAGTGAAGTTTACATCTAAATATCTTCTAATAAGTAGTGTGAATTCATATATGACGGTTTGTCAACTGCCTACATTCTGGGTGTGGATTCCAAAATAGTTTTCCAGTGTTTCATAAGTTCCTTTACTTTTTAGAGTAAAATCAGACGAGTTTCAACAGGATAAGCTGGATTTTGCTTGATTTTGCCGATGGGGACGTCGTAGGATCAAAAGTTTGCATAAGGTGGCATGCCATGAGGTCGGTCGGTGCCTAATAAATTTAAATAGAACTGACAGGCGTGATCGTAAACATACCATTTTGTGTTTACAAAGAGAAATTTTCTTCCGTTTAATTAATTTATACTTTTTCTTCGTTTTGGATTACGTCGAGTTTCAAATCAACCTCGAAATATTGCCGAATACTTCATGATTTTCAGTGTTTTCACCCGATCTTCTATAACGACGGATTCTGAATTACCTGTCTGATAAAAACTCTAAACTAAGACTGTTCTTGAAGGCATTTACCAAATTAGTGAGTTTTCAGACGCTCATTTTCACGAAGATGGTTGTTCGGTCACATTTGAAGACTAATTAAAACATCAAACTTCATTTTCGTGAAAAATGTCTGTCCACAACGAGAGTCAGCAACGAATATGCCTTCGATCAATAACAAAACGTTCCTTAATAAGTTACCTTTTTAAGAAGTGCTTTATTACTGCACTCCGTCGACGGATCTCTGTGTACTTTGCATTTTTGCACGGCGAGGCCAAGTAAAAATTTGGCACTTTTGACGGTTTCTTTCATGTTCCTAAGCAATACAAATATTTTTCTACTGTAAACGCAAGAACATGCCTTTCTCTATACATAGAGGCTATTTCCACTGTTTTTGCTCGCTTTTAGGCTCCGTTCTTCGATTATGAATGCACGGCAGAGCGCCCATATGAAAACTGATATTTTGTTGAAACTAAAAATGTTTTGCTCGTTCTTTTGCTGAAAGAAGTATGCACGGAGGTCATCTATGTGACATCAGGTAGAATTTTCCAAACGGCAAAAAAATTTCAGCCCACTGAAACGAAGGAATCCCTCTCTGCGTTATTACTGCACTTCAGAGCACCAAATCGCACAGATCTGCCAATTTGACATTAAGGAATTGATAAAACTTCTCGTTTTCTTAAAATAACCTTTTTGTTAGCAGGTTGATAACCATGGTTAACATCGGACATGAAATAAACTTTCTAGTCCGGCCAAATCTGTTTATTAAAACTCTCGAGGTTAAATTACTATCCTTTCAATGAAAAAGTCGTTCAAATGCGTAACTAGAGTCTAGGACATGTATTAGCATAGGAAATTGCACGAATATATTCCAACGTCTATTTTCGCTAAAATTTACTGATATTTTACTTCATATAATTATGTAAACATAATTTCTGCACAAGAAAAGGATGTTTCATTGAAGGACGTGGGTGAGCGAACAAAATGCGCCACGTTAAAGACGTCCAGAAATTCTCTAACCAGTTTTCGTTGTCAGATTTCATGAGATAGGTCACGTACTGTAGGTGTTGTCGGCAGACCGTTCACGCCGACAGCGAGGTCTCAGGTATTCGGCCAGCACTGGCTAATATCCCCCCCTCCTGACCTCCGACAAACCAATTAAAATGAAGGCAGGTCTACGTAAGCCGAGCCTGGTTGAAGTCAAAGATCGATAAACCCATCAACTGCAAACGCGCGTGCGTCCGTGAGTGCGGAAAATGCTGTACAGTTAAATTAAGTTGTTTAGCAGAGCGAGAGGTTTAGGAAGGAGACGACTGAGGAGAAGTTAAAACATGCGAAATTAGAAAAAAAGAATATCTGAGCCATCCCCTTTTGGATGTTTATTCCCAGTGGTGTTTTTGCCCAAGATGGCAGCGTTTTTTTAAAGCATGCTTTTTCAAACAAGAATAAAAGTTGCAATTTGCTATGAAAAGAATAGTCCGGTACCTATTACAGCGTTGCAACTGTAACCATAGTTCTCCTAACGCTACGCCTCAAACTAACTCCCCTATGCCTAGACCTAACCCTAACCTAAACCGCCTCTGTATTTCAGCGCAAGGTCACCTGTAATAGGGGGGGGGGTATTTAGGTCCTCTGAAAAGCATAATTTTTAGTAGTTACTGATGGTCTATTAGGTAGGACATTTGAAGATGTCTGAAAAAAATTCCATGGGTGTTCGGTCCTTGAGACTTGCATAAATTTCTCGGACCAAAACAAGGTAATGGAAATGAGTTAGGAGTTGACTTGGGGGCTCGGTTTAATTGCCACATTTTAGGCACGCTGCTAAATAGGCCTGGTTTCATGCGGCTGTTTTGTTTTGAAGTGTGGATTTGCTCTGCAATCAGCCCTCTCTCCTCGAGGGAATCCGCTAATGAGGAACGCTGTTATTGGAACAGCTACGACTCTATAAAGTGTCCAACGCACTGGTAATTCAAGTGCCACGTTTAGAATGCGAAGTAAAAGCTTGCGTACTTGTAAACGCAAAAATTCTGAGACAGAGTAGTGCTCAATTGCTTAATTTCAAAAGTCATCCAGGGACCAATAGTTGGACAGCTAACGGACGTGCATCTCGACCAATGAGCTGCTCATCTTCTCCCCTTTCGTACGGCATTGGTCGTTCAAGTCCTAGGTCCGGCAGAATGCCTGACCGGTGTGCTTCATAATGTGAGCTGTGCGGAGGACACACCAGCCTTCAACGTGATTGGCTGATAGAGCTATTTTAAAAGCCAACCAGTTAACGTTTGCTTCGGGGAAATCCTCCTTATCCTCTGATATCTTACCTGGGACCTGCGTCTTCCCTGCCAGAAACACAAACTGCTACTTTTACGATGTTAATTTGTATCTCAAAAGTTGAGACTCAGTAATGTCAGCATTTGCTCAAATCAAAACAATAATATACTTCGAGTTCATCAAAATGCCTTGTCAACAGGTTGTTTAGTTTCGGGACTAAGGTGCAATGGAGGGGAGTCAATAAACGGAAGCCTCATATGTTTCAAAAATCTTGCATGCTAAGTACATGAGGCCATTAGTTAATGAAAACGCATGCTGAGGCTGGAATTCCATTAAAGTTCTACCAAAATACACTAGGTAGGCTTCCACCCAAGTTGAAAGGGGCATAGTGAATTTATCTGTAGTTACGTGGGTATAGTCCCGTAGAAGATGAATTCAACCCGACAGCCTTAATCATTCGACTTTGTTAGGATAGAAACATCTCCTATTCTCCCGTGAAATAGTCTTTTGAACCGCCTTTACTGCGGGTGGGTTAGGACCGCATCGTCTTCTCATAGTAATATCACCTACAGTTCATACAAACTAAATATCGGCTTTTGATATCGCCTGATCCTTCCTGGCTTCTTGTTGGTGATTTAGGTTCAAGTAGGGGTAGGAAAATAGTGTATTACATTCAAAGTTTACTTCCAGTATATGTTATTCAGTCGCCAAATTAATATTCAGCTGATTCATTCATAGTTCCTGCTATAGTGACCAATCTCATAACATTTTGACCGAAATTCCAAGATATATTTTTGATTAAGAAGGAGTACTTCGACTGGGTTGCCATACCGATCATCGTGCGGCATAATTTAATGATGTATTAGACACACTAGGATGTTACTTTCGGATGTTCGGTTGCTACGAGAAAAAAACTCGATAAAGTGAATAACTAGGTAATATAGGTTCTTCTTTTTATTTTTTTTGGTACTCCTATAAGCTCAAAAAATAGTTTATCGAAAACATGAACGAAATATTAGTTCTTGTACTTATCTGGTAGATGCTTACATCTTTTTCAACTTTGACACGCAAGAGCAGGACGTATTTAGGTTTACAAAATAGTTTTCCTATTCTCGAATAACTGTGAGTCGGATCTGCGGTTTTATTTACGCATAGAGTTTTAAGTCTACAAGCTGCATACTTTTGTATGAGGAAAATCACACATTCCTCCAAGCCATTTAGAAAATTCCATGCAGGGTTCATGAAATTTAGTGATGGCTGTGGACTGTGTTGTATACTTCCTTAGGAGCTCTAAAGAACGGACAGCTACGATTATTTTTGAATGGATATTGCACGGTCTCAAAAATCTCATAATTAGAAATCGTTCAAAACCAAAATACGCTTTTTAGTATAAACTTTGAGAGAGACATGATTTTTTGCTAAACAAATGCAAGAAAACAATGTTTGTACATGTTTTCTATAAAAATATATTTGGACTTACAAGGACACCGAAAATCAATATAAAAAATAGCCTGCTATTACGAAATGATTTCCTACTGCTTGTGGTTTCAGTAGTCCGGCGCAAATTATCTCACTCAGAAGCCTACATACTGTCGTGTCTGAAATGTCTTGAGATTATGCTGCAGATTATTTAGTATTATGACCCCGTTTGAGTAATCCCCCCTAATTGAAAACACATTTCCAGAACTTCGGTGAACATTTCCTGAGGTTGGTTACCGACTGTACTTCATCCTGTTCTCTTAGAAATGTCTGGTTCGAGTCACAGATTAACTGGCGAGATCCACAATACGAAAACACGCGTCTTCCATTTTCTGCGAACAGCTCTGACATCAGAAAAGCTGTCTCAAATGCAGCAAACGGAAATGGGCCAGACATGGCTATCCGCCTTTGAAGGAAGTTTACATGAGATAGGTCGGCCACAGAGGGATACTGTTTACTTTTTTGCGCAAAAACATGGCGACCAGGTAGCGTGCTCCGATTGCTGTTTTTACCAAACACTTCCTCAAAGTTACCAATTAGCGCAACTGGAAAGCCCCATTTCCGGAATGTGGCAGTATCAATGTACAGCACTAGCCCTAAGAGTGAGTTAATACCTAAAAGATTCTGGGGTGGCAAGTCAGACTAAAAAACCTTGTCAGCTGCATCCATATGCAAGCTCTGTCTTTCCCAAGTCTTGGTATTGGCGGAGTTGCCTCAATGGCGGAACGAAGTACGGAGGCTCTTTTGCACTGGAACAGCGATGTAGGGCCCTCGTAAGTGGCCACAGTCACCAGTCGATAACTACTCCTGACATATCCCGAGGAAGCGGACATGGTCGCTTCTGGCCTAGCTTCCAGCGTCAGCCGAACCATAAGCAAGGAGAGTTTAGAGTTTGACGGCAATCCTAGTCACTCGTTGAAGCCGACGCCTTACAAGTTAAACTGTTGTTTGCTTTATCTCACTTATGGTGAGTACTAATCTGAGCCGTACTGGGGTTCTGTTTAAAGATCTCATTTAACTGCAGGCCGAAAGACGGCACGACTTAGGCCATGCGTTGTGGCTGCAAGTTTGAAAGCGATAGTCGGGTAGGTCATTCATTTGGAAGACAATCAGTGTCAATCCCAGGTTTTTTGCTATCCCCTCACCTCAAATTATCAACTTATCAGTTTTGGGAATCGGACCACCGGCTGGTTATAGACCGCGCAGCTCTCCCCAGCATTGTTACACTTCAACTTCGATCAACTCGAGCATCGTCTTCCGACGTCTAATTGATACCCACCGCACAAACTTTCCCGGTCTCCACACTTTAGTGCGCAGTCCTGGGTCTTTCTTCTCAATCGATGATCAGGTGTTCTGTTGGTTCATACCTTCTTCAACCTACCTCCAGCTGCCTTTTTCTAATGTCCTGATTTGTCAAAAAGAGTGATCTGTCCATTCCCAAACACACAAGTACACTGGTCTCACCTTCTCTCTCCCTCCCTACACAACCGATGGATTGCTCGAGCATTGCCGACAACTGATAGTGAGGTTGAGCATAATGGACGGCTCCGTCTAAATGTGGCCCACGTATATACTGCAGTAGTTGCGGACTCACAAACTTGCTACAACTCAGTCAATTTGAATGTATGTCTCTTAACCGGACGAACCTGATGACTGTGTCTGTTTCAGCCATCTGGATATGCGATTGTCCCCAAAACAGGCCACGTGGTAGACACTCTGGACCAGCACAGGGGCCATATCGGATTTTGGCAGCCGTTATCGGATTTGCGCACCATAACATTTGGGGGTGCGGTGACAGACGTCAAGCACACTGGGACCCCTGTCGCCGCCCGTTGTTATTGTTGGTCAAAAACCTGGTCATTTGTGGTGTGGACCAGGGGATATGTAGTGAAAGGCCAAGGTGCGGGCCCGACCGTGCCATCCGCCTGCGCCCCCCCTCCACGTCCGGTTTTCTTGACTCTCCCTTGACAGCGGGCTCAGGTGGGGGAGGAGAAAGTGCTATAGATGCTGTGTAAGTCTGATATCTCTATAAACTAATTCACGCACAAGTCACCGTCCCTGTTCACACCTTGCCGTGGAACACACGGTGGACATCGTCGTCTACGGCGATCGAAATGTCGTCGGATATGAGTGGTTGGAGTTAAGGGGACTTAAAAAGGACGAGATATCTCTTTGCTGGTGCCTAATGATACCCGAACCTTACATGAGTAGTAAGACGACAAGCAAAATCCGCTTTACATGCTCATTACAGTATGTATGCTTATTTTCTGTTGAAGATGATCATTGCAGACAGCGCTGGTGCCGACGCAGACGAGGCCCAAGAACCCCTGATTACCAGCTTCCAGGTGCGCTACAAGGCCTCAGACGGCTACCTGGCTGATCTCACAGCTGTGGCAAATGAACTGGACTCCGCAACGCCCCCACCGAGAACGCCTCGTCCACGATCGACTTCACCGCCCTCCAACGGCTCGCGAGAAACCGTGCCCCCTCGTGTCACCAGATCCCGATCCCCCGTCGCCAGCCAGCAGGCGCGGCATCAAGACTTCTTCGGTCTTCTTCGGAGCTCGAGATCCGTGCCGAAGTTGGCCGAGACCACGGTGGCTGGGGTACAGACTGCCCTCAATCGGAGATCGATGCAGGTGAGCTGTCGGTGGTCGCAGAGGTGTGTTTAACCAAGCAACAGTCCGTTCCTGCTTCGAGCACATCTCGTGTCTTGGCCATTCTATTCTCATGAAACCCAGCGCGCGCATTATCTCTGGGGATTAACAAGCGCGACTGAGTGGATTTGCAGCAGTCAGATGCTACTAACGTCAACACTGACGTGATTCATGCACTATAGAGTAGGTGGGCTAACTCATGAAATCTCAACAGAAATTCCGAAGTGCGTTTCCGTTTCGCAAAGGTTATTTAAGTGGGGTTGTAAAACAGATCATCATGCAGGATAACTCTATACTAATTCATTTACCCCAGGACGCCCGTTTTCGAACACACGTCCTTCCGGCTGCATCTAAAAACCATACTCCGTGAAGAATGACTACTTAAGTAGCATGCATTTTTTCATTGATTTTCGATGCCCTTAAAGAGTTAATTATAGTTCATAGAAGACATGCATAAAAATATTCATCCCTTTGCTCATTCGGTGGAACATTGCGTCTTCCTTCAATTTTATACTCGAAGGAATGGTATAATTCGGTTTTAAAAAAGTTTATAATTGTGAGATTTTTAATACCATGAAATGGCCCTTCAGAAAACGTCATGTCTCTGTATTTACCAATGTGGCTTGTAAAGGTAACAATGTGGTTAAAATCCACTAATTAATTTTATGAACCCCATACGGTAGAGAAATGTATGGTTTTCCGTACGCCGAAATTATACGGCTCGTAGTTTGGGAATCCTGAAGGCAAGTGTAACGGCAGGTCGAATTCAAAATTATTCGGGAATTTTAAAAGTTTTGAAAACCGAATTATACCCTTCCTTTGAGTTTAGAATTGAAAGTAAACGTAGTTTTCCACTGAATCAGCAAAAGAATGAATATTTTTATGCACGTTTTCTATGATCTGTAGTTAAATCTTAAGGGGCATCGAAAATCAATGGCAAATTGCATGCTACATAAGTAGTCATTTTTCACGGAGTACGGTTTTTGGATGCAGCCAGAAAGACGTTTGTTCGAAAGCCGGCGTCCTGGGGTAACTGAATTATTATAGAATCATGCTGCACACAATTAATCTTTACGAAACGGAAACGCATTTCTGAATTTCTGTTGAGATTTCATGAGCTAGCCCGCTTACAGTAGTTAACAGATGAAACTCTAGAAGGGTACGAGGTTGAGCATGGGTGTGATTGGTTGGAGGCGGAGTTTCGCCCTTATATTTGCGATCTACTCCTAATATTGTTCGTTTAAGTGCATGCTCTTCGTTTCTCTCAGTCGATTTATAGCTCGTTTAACATTTGCGCGCCCAGTTTGTGCCAGTTCATGTGATAGGATCCACCCCGTCATCCACCCTGACAAAGACTGCTGAGCCACTAAGTTTGATGGTGCCAGCTCACTGGGCAAGCACCTGATCCCGTTCGGTGACGACGAAGATATTATTCACACACCGCGTCCAGAACATCGAACGTAAAGAACGTAGTCACGTTCGACGGAACAGTCTACGAGCAGGTGAAGGACACGTCAATGGGTTCGCCGATTTCGGCACTCATAGCCGAGGCGGTGCCACAACCGATGGAATCGCTGGTTTTCCGACACCGCATACCGAAACGTTTGACTCCGTATATTATGATATTTTCGTCATCATTGAACAGGCTCCGGTGCCGACATTCAAAGAACATCTCAACGCCATCTTCTCGGTCATTCGACTTACGATTTAGGAGGGAGAAAACAACCAGCTCGCCTTTCTAGGTGTCCTCGTTGGCCGCAAAGATTGTGGTGGCCTAAAAACCAAAGTGTTAAGGAAAGCGACAAACACGACATAGATACTAAGCTTAAACAGCAGCCGCCCGATCAGTCACAAACGAAATTGCGTAAGGGCGCTATACCGGCGCGTTGAGACGCACTGCAGTGAAATGGAAGAGAAGGTTGCTGAATTACAATATCTTCGACGGGTAATGAGAGCCAATGGCTACCCGCACCACTTTGTCAACCAGTGCAGACGGAAAGGACACCAGAGACCAAATCCAACCGGCCCTAAATTTTGGCGGACTCTTCCGTACGTGAAGAACTTCTCGGAAGCCGTCAGTCGTCTTCTCACTCCACTTGCAGTTGGAGTTGCACACAGGCCGGAAGCAACCATCAGGCGTCAAGTCATGAGACCAAAAGACCCGCTGCCACGACAGGAAACGTCTGGAGTCGTTTACCGGATCTGATTAAGTTGCGAACAAAGCAACTACGAGAAGTTTACTTGTCCGACGTTTCGCGTCCTCACCCTAAACTATCACGAGGGGCAGGAAGAGTTAAGGGAGACGAACGCGCGGGGGGAAGCGGATTGTCACTCGAGGCTTCGCAAATACCGTTAGAGATAGAAGCGAACAGGCGAGTTTCGGGAAACAGTTCAGAAGAATAAAAGGCGATCACTGGAACAAGAAGTTTATTGGTCTGACGCTTTGGACAGAATAACTACGTCGGAGAAACTTCTAGATTACTCCAGACGCCAATGGTCGGGCACGCAGCAGCGGTGAGGAGGAAAGACGCCAACTCTCAGGTGGCGGCTCATTCCACATTCTTTGCCGAGATTTTCCCTGGAAAGGAGGTTCAGTCAGGCGAGAGGGCGAGGGCGAACAGAAATCCCAGTGACAGCCAGGCATATGGTCAAGAAATCATCACGTAAGTATCCAAAGCGAATGACGAAATCGCGGCAGTGAGCAACACGGACCCGGACTGATGGGCCATCATCGCTGCAATTACGACCCCTAGAGGTGATTGCGAGGACTGCTAATTGCAGTACGTATGTGCCCAAGGGTAGCTACGTGCTATAAATACCACACTACTTTTGGTTTGACTATCCTTATCTGCAACTCCCTCTGATGATGGGTTTGAGTGAGAATCCAAAACTTCAGGCCAATATACTTCTCGTCCCAGTTGTTGCATCTTCGCCTTCTGAACTATCTCCTGGTACTCCTTACAAGTAACGGTCATCTCAGCCTGCTCTTCTTTCTCAGTGTTACCGGTAAGACAGATTGCCTTACATTCTGGCTTCAGGACAAACCCCGTGGCATTTCGGCAACCAACTGGCGTCAGTTCGCTTTTGCCATTTGATACACTAATGTGACTATTATAAAGAAATGTAACGAGTAGGACGATGATTGACACAGTCCATTTGGCGCAAATTCTGATGTGGTAACTGTGGCAAGCTAGTGGGTATGGTCTTTGATGTTGAGTATAAAATGCACATTTACGTAATAAATCGCCACCGCGTAGAATACTGTGGCGCATACATTAGCAGTACTATCTCATGAAATGCTAACTGAAATTCTGGGATGGATTACTTAAGTATGGTTGTAACATCAGTCATTGTGCAACATAACCCAAAGGTATTTTAAGTAAGTCAGGGTAGCGGTTTTTGAACGAGCCCCTTAACGACCATCGCAAAAATTATAATCTGCAAAAATAATTACTTATGTAGCATATATTTTTCCAATTTATTTCCGATGCCCTGATAAATACAAATATACTTTAAAGGAGTCGTGCTTCAAATGTTCTTCCTTGTGCTCGTTTGTTAGTAAATAACGTCCTCCTTAAATTTCATGTTTAAACGAGGGGTATCTTTCGGTTTTAGAAAAGTTTTTAATCCTGATATTTTTTAAGATCGTGACATGTTCATTCCCAAAGCATCGTGCCGGTCCATTTAGTAATGCTTCAAGTTCGCGTACCCTGAATGCAAGCGTAACGACAGGTCGGATCCGAAATTATTCGGAATGAAGAGAGTTCTTTAAACCCGAGTGCGACCCTTTCTTCAAACAGAGAAATTAAGGAAAACTCAATTTACTTCAAAATGAGTATGTGAAAGAACATTTTTGTACGTAACTCCGAAAAAAATATTTGAGTTTCTAAGGAAATCGAAAGCCAATGAGAAAAACCATACTACTTAAGTAGTCATTTTTGCAGAGTGCAGCTTTTACAGGCAACTGGACATGGCTGAACTAACTTTGGGTTATGCTAAGGAATGATTATTATGATGATGATTGCCAATAGAAGCGAAAAGACGAGTCCCAGGAAGCAGTCTTATTATTATTATTATTATAAAACTACTTAAACATTCTTTTCAGGTCGGAGACACATTTCAGAATTTCGGTTAACATTTCATGCTATAGCACATCCGCTGTACACTATTAATGGCCATATATCGGACACATAATAAGTGCATTCACGAAGAGAAGTCTGACATCTGGCGACGCAGAGGTAGTGCCGGCGATTGCCAAATACAACTTATTGTCGGAATCCCGGACGATTGTTGCCGTAGCTGGACGTCTGAGTGTGACCCCTGAAAGTAGATAGTGATCTGGGGTGGGGGGGGGGGCAGGAAAGGGGACGGGTTTCATCTACCTAAGGGGGTGAGGGAATCGCGTGCGTGACACTGTCCTCCTTTGGCTACTGACCTCTGTTCTCGCGAGCGGAAGGGCTACATCAGCAGGAGCGAGTTGTTTTGGCTGTGTTGATGTGAGGAACAGGAGAGAGATAAGCTGGACCCAGATAGATGTGCTGGGTACGAGATGTTACGAATCGCCAAAGTAAACTTGGAGCCTTCGGCGGGGGGAGGGGAATGGGATTCCAGATTGAAACGGCCACCTCTAGAAACTAGGAGACGAGTCCCAGGAAGCAGTCTTAAAGAAGGAGACACGATCGCTGGGAAAAGGGCTTTATTAGCCTGACGTTTCTGATTCCTACTTGAACCCGTCATCAAAGTCAAAAGCAGACAAGGGTGGTTCATGCGCAGTACTTATACGATGCAGTTGCCATGTCACTGCATACCTATGAATAATGACGGCTTCTCACCTCCCTGGATGTCCTCGTAGGCCGCAAAGATTGTGGTGGCCTAAAGACCAAAGTGCTCAGGAAAGCAACAAATACGATGCAAGTCTTGAACTTCAACAGCAACCACCTAATCAGCCGCAGACAAAGCAACTACGTCGGAGAAACCGGAAGACAGCTCCGAACGCGAATGGCCGAACACGCTGCAGCGCTGCGGAGAAATGACGCCAGCCCTCATGTTGCGGTTCATTCGACGGGTTCCGGCCACGCATTCAAATTTGACGAGGTCGAAATTCTCGCAAGAGGTGACAACCGCGTGAGCCGGGAGCTGCTTGAATCATGGTTTACTGGCCCCCAGTCCATTAACAAATGCAATGACCTTCCCCTTCCGTACTCGGTGCTGAGACTTAGCCTAGGCGGAGTAAATAGCCACGCGGAAAGCGCACAGGTGAACACTTTTCGCAACATCAGGGTCGGTGGGTCAGATGGTTGGGCAATTATCACACCAACATCCAACACCCGCGATCAAATTGCAACAGTTAACGACGCGAATGTCGGCCATCAAATTGCCAACACACCAAGTGCAACAATCCCTGATGAAGGGGGGAGGGGAGGGAGCCGTGAATATTCATAGGTAGGCAGTAGCATGACGACTGCATCCTATAAATACTGCAGCCCCTTGTGTGCATGAAAAACCCATGTCTGCTTTTGCCTCTGATGATGGGTTCGAGCAGGAATCCAAAATGTCAGGCTAATAAAGCTATTGTCCCAGCGATCGTGTCTCCGTCTTCAAGACGGCCACCTCTGCCTGCACAGATTGCGTGGTGACAGCATTGCTGCTGCTGCCGCTGCCGAGAGGGCATCCCAGCCTCCAACAGAGTCTTGTTATATCCTCTGCACTACTTTTAGTCGCATACACGTAGGATGTGTGCTTTCACAACATGCCACCTTTTCAGACGGCCTGAGGCAGAGGGCAGAGGGGGAGGGAACGGTCACACCTGTCTGAAGGGGAACCCCTTGAGTGACACTGGTCTCTGTTCTCGCCAGCGGAATGGGGGGGGTATCCCAACAGAGACGGGTTGTAAGAGTGTGTTGATGTGACGGATAGGGAGGCGAAGAGAAACCCAGTGAGATGACGGAGGAGAGGGGACGGAATCCCCGATGTCAACACACAGGTGGCGCGGTGACCGCGTTGCTACTGATGGGCCACCCCGGGGTCACACAGGCCAGCAGACAGACTACTCATGTCCTCATCACTACTTATGTTTTCCTGCCTGACAGGTACAAGCCTTGAGGCTGAAGCTGTCACACCTGCGTGGACGCATCACAGCACTGAACAAGCGTCTCGAGGATGGTGATGCTGAGAGACGACGTCTGGTGGAACAAGTGACCGGTCTGCGCAACGATTGTGATCTCACCCGAAAAGAGGCCGAGGTGGCACGTCTGGAGAGAGACAAATCCAAAAACGCGCTCAGGTGAGTTGAGTAGGCACAGTTGACTGTCTGTTTTCGTCCCTTTTCCTGTATCGCAGTTGGTAGCCAGGACCCGTATTACAGGTGGCGGGGGGTTTGTTTACTGAAGCTTTTTTGTGGGGCTCCACCATCACATCTGACCCAACTGCGATCTAGCCTCTGTACCGTCTGAACAGACCGCTGGCAGAAAGAAGGAAGACGAATTTGGCTGCTATGCAAACCCTAGATGCATGGTAGGAAATTATGGAAACTACATGACTATTAATTATCATTAACCCGCCAGGTATTAGGAGATGCTCCCGAATCCTGTTAGTGTCCTCTGCGGAATGGTCACCGTTCCCGCACTTTTTAATTTTCGCAAATAACTTCTTTTACTCACGCAGTAGTAAGCCAGGCTGTGTATGCGCGGGGACTCGTAAAAACTATAGGCATACCGCCAAGTGGAAAATATTCCTAACTTGAAATTGTAGCCCTCATTCGGAAGGAAAATCACCTCGGTTTGGAATTTTTGATCTAATTTACACATGTGATCGGATTTTTTGGCCTGTGTGAAGATTGGGGTAGGTAAGTAGAATAGGGGGGATGAGTTGGAGTATTTCCGCAGAGGTACGCCGGTAAATGGAAGGCGCCAACACAGCACATTCGGAGTCAGATTAACATACCGGTGGAGTTACACCTTTGTCTGAGGTGAGATAGACTGCGATGTCAACCGAACACTGAGGACAGATCACGAGTGACGGTGACGATAGCAATAGGGAATGGACGGTCTCGAGCAGAGGGGAAGTGAGTTTCAACAGCGACTGAAAGACAATATACGTAAAAGGGGCTTTACGTCGAACGCAGGGGTTCATGTTGAATGTAACACTACGACCATTGTGAACGTTGATGTCCAAGTATTGAATGCATGGACCAGAACGGGGAACAGTCACTCGCACATTATCGGCACCTCTCACGTAAGTGGAAAATATGCCTTTCGGCCACTTTCTTCGTGTGGCTCCTCTGCTGTATGCAATATCAGAGCGTTCTAAACCCCTTCTGTGTGATATTCCGATTCGCACTCATGGGGGGCAGGTCTGCGTGTGGCACGTTCAGACGAGCTGCTCTCGGCTGCGTCAGCCACCTCTTTCAATCTCAGCATCGGCCGGTTGACCGGTTCGACAGCCGACTGTTGCAAAGGATGGGGTAGTGCGAATGAGGTCGACTCTAAGCGCGCTTTAGACTAAAACAGTACGCCAAAAGCCGTGGTCTAGAAGGTTGCAAATCGACGCTCCGTCCTGACTGGCTGGTGGACTTAGAGTCAATCTAGGAGGGCTCCTGTTTAATAACGATCGTTCAGACATGTGGGATCCGAGCCGCTTCCTCACTGCGTGTGTGTAGTTTGGGGGGCGGTTATGCATACGGCGCACGCGGACGGGCTCCCTTGTTCTGTCGGCCACTGCGCCCACGTCCGGCATCAGACCTCTGACCGGCTCGGACAGTGGACTGGTGCCAGGGGGTGCGATTGACAGTCTCAGCGCATATGCTTCATTATAAACAACCGAACACGCTTGAATCTAACCAAAAACCGTGGCTTAGAAGGTTGCCAACCAGCGGGATAACTCAGACGTCACAGTTTGTGTGGGGTGGCCGACTGGTGGACTGAGAGTCAGGTTGCAGTAGTTCCTTTCTAACGTGGCCTCTATGGCACTTCCATCTAGTGGGATTCAAGCCGTCCTCCTTCTTCTCCTCCTCCTCCTCCTCCTCCTCCTCCTCCTCCTAATCCTCCTCCTCCTCCTAATCCTCCTCTCTTATTGTGTGTAAAATCCTGGTCAGTGATAGAAGCGAACAGACGAATTCCAGGTAGCAATTCAGAAGATGTGATCACTGGAACAAGAAATTTATTGGCCTGACGTTTCGGATTCTCACTGGAACCCATCATCAGAGACAGTTGCAGACAAAGATGATGGTGGCACAAGGAGTGCAGTATTTATAGCAATTGGCTGCCGTGGGACCATATGCGCACAGTAATTGACAGTTCGACCATCGGTTGCGATGATGTCCATCGTGTGCCCCACAGTTGCAGCAGCAATGGGAGCAGGGACGGTGACTTACGCAGGGGTTTATAGTGCCAGTAGACTTGCGTAGCATCTACCTACACTCTCTCCTCCTCCCTCGCCCGAGCCCGGTGTCGAGACAGAGTCAAGAAGACCGGAGACGAGAGAGGCCGCAAGTGGATGGCTCGGACGGATCCTCACCTTGGCGTTCCACCACACCCCCTGGCCCACACAACAAATAACCAGGATTTCAACCAACACAAGAGAGATTTGGAGGCTGGCACGACCGAAGCCGCACCTGGGCGTGCCGCCAACGCCTGGCTCGGATCCCACACTGTGGTGGGAGTGCCATAAAGGCCACATTAAAAAGGAGCCATTGCAGCCTGACTCTCAGACCGCCTCCGGTCAAGGAGGAGGTCCAAGGTAGCCCGTCAGTTGGCAACCTTCCAAGCCACGGCTTTTAGCGCACCGTGATAGCTTCAAGCGCGTCAGATTGTTTATAGTGAGGAGAAAGTGCGCTGAGTCGTCGACCTCACTCTCCCTTCCCACTCCCACACCCCAGCCGCTGCCCGAGCCGGTCAGCAGACTGGAGTGGGGAATGGGTGCGGTGGCTGTCATGTTCGACTGACCATGACTGCGCGCGCCACGGCACGACCTGGCCCCCCATACACACAAAACCAGGATTTCACACAACGGGGGTTGAAAGGCGTGTCTCTCACTTGCGTGGGAGTGCCGTGGAAGGTGCGGTTTCAGCCCGTTCCCAGCCCACCAGTCCGCCACTCCACACAACGCGACGAACTGCGTGAGCCGAGAGCGGGCGTCAATCAGCAACCTTCCTTTCCACGACGCTTGACGTGTCGGGATGCGCACAGTAATTAACGGCTCTCGCAATCACCGCTGGGGTCGTAATTGATGCGGTGGTAGCTTGTCAGTCCGCGCCCGAGTCGTTGATGGCCTTGGTTTCGTTATCCGTGCTGGATGCTGGCGTGACGATTGCTCGGCAAATTGGTTTACTGTCACTGGGATAATTGCTCGCCCGCGCCCTCCCCATGTGACCGATTCCCCTGCCCAGGGAAAATCTCGGCACGGAATATGGTACTGGGAGGTCATTGCGCTTGTCGATGGATTGCGGGCCGGGGAACCAAGACTCGAGCAGCTCGCGGCTCACGCGGTTGTCACCCCTTGCGAGGGTTTCGATCTCCTGAAACTCGAATATATGGCCGGGTCCCGTTGAATGAGCCTCCACCTGAGAGCTAGCGTCTCCTCGCCTCACTGCTGCTGCGTGCTCGGCAATTCGCATACGGACTAATCTCACAACTTCTCTGACGTAGTTGCTTTGTCCACAACTGCACCAGATCCGGTAAACGACTCCAGACGTTTCCTGTCGTGGCAGCGGGTCTTTCGGTCTCATGACTTGACGCCTGATGGTTGCTTCCGGCCTGTGTGCAACCCCAACTCCAAGTGGAGTGCGAAGACGACTGACTGCTTCTGAAACGTTCTTCACGTACGGAATAGCCCGCCGAAATTTGGGGTCGGTTGGATTTGGTCTCTGGTGTCGTTTTCGTTTGCACTGGTTGACAAAATTGCGCGGGTAACCATTGGCTATCATTACCCGTCGAAGTTATTGTAATTCAGCAATCTTGTCTTCCATTTCATTGCAGTGCGTCTCAACGCGCCGGTATAGCGCCCCTACGCAACTTCGTTTGTGACTGGTCGGAAGTTGCTATTGGAGTTCAATATTTGCGTCAGTGTCCGTTGCAGTACAGTGGTTGTGATGGTGCGCCTAGGTGCGGGTTTTCATCGTGCCAGTCGCCTACACTCTCCCCCGCCCTCAGTTCTCCTAGCTCTGTCTTGACACTGGGTCTATGCGTGGGAGGAGAGAGTGCGGTAGACACCGTGCAAGTCTTCCATCACTATAAATTAATTCACGCGCAAGTCTCCCAGTCTGCTTTCGTCGTGCTGAGGAGCACGCGGTCAACGTCGTCGGCCACGGCGGCCGGACTGTAGCGTGTGCATGACATGGTCCACACACAATTGGTAGGGCTGCAGATACGCTGGACTGGTTGCGACACGCGCCAATCAGGTTGCGCCATCTGCGCATGCCCGGAATTACCGTAAATTGTATTGGTACGCCCAGGCGCAGGCCTTTTCTCCACCTCAGTGATCGCGCCCAATGCCCTCACCACCTGACTGACAGGCCGACACTATAATAAGCCTGTCTCGTCTGAATCTATGACGATGTGCTAAGAGTTTTGGCCGGGAAGGTTACCAACTGACCAGATAAGTCGGTCTTTACTTGGATCGAGAGTAGGTCTCATTTGTAACCTGGCCCTAACGACATTCTCGTCCATAAGTGATCCGGGCCACCCTTACAGAGACCTGGCACATTCAGCAATAACGGGTTCGTGTGCGGTACGCGTAGAGGGACTGTTCTGCTTTAGCAGCCACTGAGCCAACGACCGTCCTGCGTGAGTGCGATAGATGCTGTGCAAGTCCGTCTGGCTACAAAGCTGTTCCCGTACAAATCATTGGTGCTGGCTCCACTTCATGAGACATATGATTGTCGTCGTCGCCTGCGATAGTCAAGTGGGAGTCATCTGAGAGGAGATGGGAAAAATCCGACGGTAACTACGACGATATGCCAACCAATTCTCTGCTTTATTAAATTTTTTTATAAATATTAGCGTATGTAAGACCAGAAACGGCATATTAACTCTAGAACCTGGTTTCATCGCTAATCCTTTCCAACAAATTTGCCGGACTGAATGATTCTTCTCATGAAGCATTCTAACTTGTCCCATTATTCGCTCTCAGCAGCTACTCTGAGCTAATAAAAGCACTTCAATTATGCGAAGTAGTGGAGATGTTCACATTTTCCCGAATGTCATCACTTTTTTTGCTGACTAACTTGCCGCCAACCTCTCGTCTGCACAGTCTTTCCTTGGAGGAGAAGAACATTCTGGAGAGATCCCGAGTCACTAGCCTGGAACAGTTAGCCTCCATGCAAAAAGAAGTGGAACAGTTGAGGCAGATGCTGCAGACGGCCTCCCGTGAACGGGATGAGATTGCGGAACAACGCGATGAGAAACGCCTGGCCTATGAGAGCGAGGTAGGTGCATAGTCTCTCCCGTCACAATTTGGCTGGCTAACCGGTTTCTTTGTCAAATGCGAACCCTGCGGAATTTCTGTTTACATACAGTCTATTCTGTCTTGCTGGCACATATCATAAAAAATTTCTGTAGAAGAGGAAGTCGCGCTGTGTTCGGTTGTCTGAAGGTTCCAAGCATCTATAGCATACAAAGAATGCCTACTATGTTTACTTAAGTAGGTCTTATTTCGAAGAGATTATTTCAGTTTGATGTTTCATCGTAAAAGATTGGGTCGTCTGTTGTAGACAATCTGATGCATTATCTACAATGACCTTGATTCATTTGCTCAACACTCCCCCTAGACGCGAGAGACAGCCAGACTGCAGAGGCTGCTAGACCAGGCGGAATCACGCTGCTCTCAGCTGCGAGAGAAGATCACCGAACTGCAAGATCTGCAGCGTCGAACGCAGATGGAGAAGGACGTGCTCAGTCATGAGAAGACGGACGTCTTGGACCGAGCCGAGAAGGCTGAACAGAAGCTGGCTGACACGGAAAAGAAGGTGGCCAATGTAAGCGTCAAAAGACAACTCTTCTTACTGTTCATTTCCTGAAAGGTCCACTTTGTGCTTGTCGATAGATCGATAATTAAAATTCTACGGCGTGTCATCTCAAATTACATTTTTTTGCTGACATGCTCTGATCAGGTTGTTGCATTTTTCAGTCATCTGGCTAAGTAGGATATTAACTTCGTCGTTTTGAGGACCTGACTCCTTACTTGCGGTCAGAGGAATGCAGTCGTGGCATTGCTCGTGGCGCGCTGAAGTTCTTTTCTGATCTTCGTGGGAATACGGCGAGACCTGTCAAATAAGTCCAAAAAAGCCCGCTTTATTAACTTTCTGCACGCGGTTTTCTGCTGTCAAGGATGCAAAATGAAGGAACCGACGTTTTTGTTCAGGTAGCAATACGCAGGGCCCGCTGAAGAATGAGTATTCTCGTGACCGGAGTTCTGTCGTCTCTTCAGAGCAAGGGAAGACGAGATAGTAGATCGCGTAAGAGCCTCGACAGCGGCTCGCAACCGAAGAGTTGCAAAGAATATGAACGCGCGATCACTGTGACAGAGCGTGTAGCTGTCTGAGCTATCGGTCTCACACAGGAAGCTACCATCAGGGGTTGTGAGAATGCAATATCAGATGAACAGTTTTGTAGTCATATAGAGAGGGGGAGGGTTGGAGAAGGTGGTGTTCAAGATAAGGCTGGGTCCACAATGTCTCACGACGTTAAAGAAGTGCGTGATAGCAGGGGAGTATATCAACGTGTCTGTTGAGGAAGTTGGTGTCAGATGCCCAGGCCTCCAGCCGCTGTCATCCTGTCTCATTGCTGGCTCGTGCCGTTATCCGCGAAGTTGAATTCATGACCTTCCTCTAGGCTCTGAGTGGCGTCTCTCCCGACTGTTCCTTTGTGCTCCATCATTCGCAAGTTAAGTCATCGTCCGCACTGTCCCGTGTAACGGCGAGGACAGTCACGGCATGGGATTTGATAATCTACACCAGATTGTTCCCCTGAGTCTTGTCCGTCCTTCATTCACATGATTCTTGTGCGGATTGTAGCTGTCGGACAATAGGCGATACCCAGGCCGATCTCCTCAGCAATTCGTTCTCTTGTTTCTGATACAGTAGTT